GGAGAGAATCTGGATCCTCACCCAGAGAAGAGCTGTCCCGGCCTGGTGGTCCCATGCGCCCCTTCTCTTTCTTACCAAAGAGACGACCTATGGATGACTTGATGCTCTTCTTTTTGGGGGCTTTGTGCAGAGAATCCTGGGTGCCCTCACTGGATAAGAAAGATAATATGAAAGTTGATCCCATCCTCCCAAGTCCTTGTCCACACCTCTGTCACACTCTCCAACTAGTTCCTCCCTGTCCCCACTCCTTGTCCCTGCCTACCTTCCCCGTGAGGGTCCCCCATCTTCCAGGGACCCGGCCTGGAGTGCCAAGGCCTGGGTCATTCTTTCAAGACGGGCAGAACGGGGGGTGGGAGGTGGGGTGTCTCCTGGAATGGCTGGTCCTTCTCCGCGTGGAGCCCCAGCTTCCTCCTTGGGAACATGATTCTGCGGACAGAAAAGGCAGAGAAGGTGGTTTCAGTCGGAGGGAACATGTTGGAATGACAACTCAGGTTCTCTCTGAGATGCCACTGGTTTGGAAAATCATCTCTGCAGGTAGACTTGATCAAATGAGGTCAAACTGCTGAAAACTCAAAGCAATGAACGTCAAATCTTAGAGCTTGGCAAGTTCATATTTAGTGTCTTTAACTTCTGGTGTCAGAAGTGGGATCTGCCTAACCTCAAGGTCTGAGGTACAGATTCTGGAAACAGGAAATCTATGTTTAAATCAACAGAATTAGAGATCAGGCACGAACTCACCCTCCCCTTTGAGTTGCACCTTTAGGGAAAGCTAGAGTTGCATTTGAAAACCACTTGGTGTCTACGGCCGTACCACCCAGAACGCGCCCAATCTCATCTGAAAACCACTGTGGTGTAAGGGTTTATTATTGCTATTTGTTGGGAAGCCTTTTTTTTTTCCCCTGACCTTCCCTACCCCAGACTGGAAAGACTTTGAGAACACTCACAGCCTTGTCAGTGCCCTCACGAGCAGGGCTAGGGGGTGCCAGACGGGGTGTTGAGTGGCCCGAGCTGGGAGGGGAGGGACTGGCGAGGGTGGAGGTCGTGAGGGAAGGTGGTAGCGAACAGCTGCTTCTGTATCGGCCTAGAGAGTCCAGGCCAGAGCTAGACACCCGGCTCTCCAGCTCCTCTGCTCTCTGCTCTGTTGTCTCCTTCTCTTCTTGGATCAGCCTGAAGAGAGAAAGTAGGGGAACTGGATGAGATAGGGCCTGACGACAATGGGAAAAGAAAGGCTGGCTGTGGATTGCAGTAGGCCAGGAAGTCTTGGTAACCAAAGTCAGTGGGAACTCTGAGGAAGACATAGTGATGTGAGAGGGTCTTGTCAGATTCATGAAGAGACTCCAGGGGTGTCAAAGAGTCACAAGAGGCTCTGGAAGTCATGGAGGGAGTAGCAATGTCAAAGTGATCAGGGCCTGCTCTAGGTGGTTCTGTGTGTACTATCAAATCAGATCTGACTTGCACAGGAGGAGACAGTCTCTCCTTCTCCAGAAGAGATTTGAACCATGCACCTCTGGGATTGCAGTGCAGCTTTTTGCCACTGGGCCACCAGAGCTTGCCTATGTGGTTCTACCAGTCCAAAATGGTTCAGGAAATCATAAAGGGATTGCATTATAACAGATAAGAGGTTGACTTCCTTCTCCTTACAAGCACTCTAAGAGCAAGCACATATGATCGGATAAGATCTGAAGCTCTGAAGAAATAGGACTTGAGATGATTTGGTCTGAGAGAGGTGATATATCAAGTCAGCAAGTGTTCGAATGGAGATAGTCTTTGTGTTGGTATATTTGCTGGGGTTACATGGAGAATGTGGTCTTAGAGGAGAATTATTAAGTAGAGTGGTTGTTAGTGATTCAAGAGAAGACTTTATGGCAGTTGGGAATTCTTTTTTTTTCTTTTCTTGTTGTGTACCATCCAATCAAATCCGACTGGTACAGGAGGAGATTGCCCTTCCTTCTCCAGTGGAGATTCGAACCGTGTGCCTTTGGGATTGCAGTGGAGCTTCTTGCCACTAGGCCACCAGAGCTCCCTCAGTTGGGAATTCTTAATGCATTAAGGATTCTTCTTCTTATACTCTTTGTAGAAAGAGTTGAGATTCTTGCTTTCTTAGGGTGAGATTCTTGGCATTTGGGGCTGGGAATTTTGTTGTGTGATGTTGAGCTTCTAGGTGTGCTGGAAGATTCTGGGTAATGGGTGTCTGAATCCATAATATCCACAGCGTGTTGGAAAGTTATTCAAGTATTGGGTTGAGTTTGTAATTTCAAGTGTAGTCTTTGGTGTACTAGGAAACCACGGCCAATATGATGCGTGGGGAATTCTGGGTGAATCCTGAGTGACTCCTGGATGTGGGAAGGAGTGTAGGTCTGGGAGAGAATGCCCTGAGGATGGTGGAAGGGGAATGGGCTCAGGCTAAGACCAGTCTCCAGAGCCAGAGGACTGTGAGGTCAATGTCAAGGCCAGGGCCAGGCTGGGCCAACTGCTTACTTGATCTCTTTGTTGATGGCCTCCAGCTGCTCCTGAAGCATGATGGCCAATGTCTGCACATCGGCCTGTCCACTGGGGGACAGAAGCTCAGCGCCAAACATCCCTTCTGCCTCCTCCTCATCTGAGCCATCCAGTTCCCCAGGGAATGGAGGTGGTATGGAACCGGCAGGGGCGGACCGCTCCCACTCCTGTCTGTGAGGACAGAGGGACACGCCCTGAGTGAGAAACTGAGGTTGACACTGGTCTTGGTTGACCTTGACCCACACCCCTTGACACGAACTGGCCTCACTGTGTGACCCAGCCCCCACACTTTTGTCATCTCAGCCCAATTTCCATTCCTTGACACACCCCTTTATAATCTTTCCAAACCAAGACCACCTTTATGACTCTATCCAATAATTCCCTTGACCCAGTCCACTCCCTTCCACCTTCTAGCAACCCTATACACTCTGGAACCTCACCCACTGCCCCCCCAGATCACATTTCTCCCCCCTCCTCCTCGTTCTTCAAAGGGTCTCACCAAGTAACAGGAAATCCACATGAAGAGATATCAGGGCAGATGCAGACAATGGAGTTGGTGGGGGAGGAGAGAAGACAGGGTGGGTCTAGGAGATCTTGCTTCTAGACCCAGCCCCCTCCCAGAATTCCACTTCTTTCGCCCCATTTCCCACACAAGCCCTGCTCAGTCCAATCCCCAGAGAGGGATGGTTGCTGACCTTGGAAGGTTCATCCTTGACCCCTGACCAGCGGCCCCTCTTGCCTGCTCGACCACTGCCAGCCCCATAGGGGTCCAGGTGGGCACCAGAAGGCAATGTGGGGGCCTGGGAATAACGGAGCTCCAGGGCACTGCCAGGGAGAGACCTGTGGACACGAGGAGGGCAGTGAGGGGCCAGTGGGTCAGGAAAATGGGGAAGGTCCTGGGTGTCAGAAGATTGGGAGAGGGATCTAATGTTAAAGGTCAGAGAAAAGGGTCAAAAGTCACAGGTCATGAAGTCTAGGGTCAAAGTAAGAGGGAGATATGGAGGAAGACAAGAAATGAAGATGGAAAACTAGGAGAACGACTGGAAGGAATGAGCTTGGCCTTGAGGGTTCCATGCTGGGGCAAGGGGGCTTCTGTCACCTGGAGTAGGAAGATGGGGGCCTTCCCCTCAACTGGTCAATCTCCATCTGCATCCTCTCCATCTCGGCCAGGAGCTGCTCCTGGGGTCAGGGGAGGAATCGCGTCAGATTCTACAGCCCCAGAAGAAGAGCGTTGACTCTAACGTCAGCTACCATCCTCTTCAACTGTGGTGCTGGCGAAACATACGGACTATATACCACGGACTGCCAAAAAGAACGGCCAAATCTGGCTTTGATGAGGGAAAGCTAGGAAGCTCCTTAGAAATAAAGATGATGAGACCTTATCTCATACCCTTTGGCTTCTCAGGAGAGGCCGGGACATCATGTCTACTAGTGGATCAGCTCAACCGAGAAAGACCCTCCAGGTGATGGACTGGCACAGTGGCTTCCACACTGGGCCCAAGCACAGCCCCACAGTGAGGACAGAGCAGGGCTGGCCAGTGTTGTGTTGAGTTAGAACTGACTTGATGGCACGTAACAACTCCTAACAGCCCACCATGACCCCTGCCTGACTTCTAAGCACGCTTTACCTTGTTAAGCAGGAGCTCATCCTGAAGCTTCTTCATGTTGGCAATCTCCTCGCTTAGTGAGTTCTGCGAGGGACACACGGAGGTAAGGGGACAGAGCCTGGAGGCACCGGCCCCAGAGACAAGGGTGTGTGGGGGTGTGTGTGTATGTTCAAGATCCTTCACAGAAAGAGGCCTGAGGGGGAAGCCTACAGGAAATGACACAGGCACACACACGGGGAGCTGCAGAGCGATGTTTTAAAGTGAAAGGTGCCTCTGGGGTGCTAAATCCCTAGGGAACCCCAGAATTTGTCATTTGGGTAATCGCCAAGGAGTCAAGATTGGAAGTGTTGGGCAACTTCAAGGACCCAGGGTGTGGGTGCCTTGAAATTGGGTGTTGAGACTGAAAGATAGTTTCTGCAGTAGAGCAGTCAGTAGAATCGGGGTGGCCAGGCGTGGAGATATCTCAGGAGGGTGCTGGGAGTCCCAGGATGGGGCGCACCTTCTCCTCCAGCGCCCCCATGCGCTCCTTGAGGTGGAGCTGCAAGCGCTCGTTGGATTCGCTCAGCAGCTTGTCCACAGTCTCTGAGAGCCGCTTGTTGTGATCGTCGTTCATCTTTTCCCGCTGCCGAGCCTGCCCAAAGGGGTGCAGGACAGGGCGCTCAAGCTCAGGTGGCCCAGCGCACAGCTTCTGCCCACAGGCTCCACCCCCTGGGTCTAAGCTCCACCCCAAGCCCTAAGCCCCACCCTTCTGCAGACCTTTAGCCACGTCCCTTTCCCATCTAGCTCCACCCCCTCACCCTTTGCAGCTCCTGGTTTTTCTCCTCCAACTGGGCCTCCAGTTGTCGAAGCCGCTCCTCGAAGTTTCCATGACGTTCTTCAGCCTAGTGAATGAAAGATAAGGCAAATGGCTTTACCCCAGCAGGACTCAGGCCCTGCCTCCTTCACAGTCGGGCATGAGGCCACGCCCCTGAAGCCTTCAGGCTCCTCCCCTGCACTTAGGCTCCTCTCTTCCAGGCCCCCAAGCCCCTCCCCTGCTGCCCCAAGCCCCTCCCCTACAGGCCTCCAGGCCCCTCTCCCTCAGGCCTTGAGGCTCCTCCCCTCCAGGCCTCCAGGCCCCTCCCCTGCAGGCCTCCAGGCTCCTCCCCTGAAAGCCTTCAGGCTCCTCCCCCACAGGCCTTTAGGCTCCTCCCCTGCAGCCCTCCAAGCTCCTCCCCTGCAGCCCTCCAAACTCCTCCCCTGCAAGCCAGGCTCCTCCCCTTCAGGCTCCCAAGCCCCTCCCCTGCAGGCCTCCAGGCTCCTCCCCTCCAGGCCCACAAGCCCCTCCACTGCCCAGGCTCCTCCCCCATAGGCCTCCAGGCTCCTCCCCCAGGCCTTCAGGCCCCTCCCCTGCACCACCAAACTGGGCATGTCATTCTGGCTCCACCCAGTTCCCATGCCACCCCATCTAGGGTCCCTCACCTTGTTGAGCGCGGCCACGCGCTGGGCCAGCTGGGCCTCTATTTCAGGCAAGGTTTCTGCCTTCTGCAGCGTCTGCTGCAATTTCTGCTTGGCGTCGTCCAGCCACTCAGCCAGCTGACGGCTCTTCTCTTCGCTCTGAGGAGTAAGAGAGGTGAAGGGGCGAGATTAAGTCACCTGAGCCACAGATAGTGTGGCCCCCTCCCTGCCCAGTCACCCCCTCCTGGCTGAGCCCCCACCTGCCGGTACAGTGACTCCTTGCTGGCGAGTTCATTCTCCAGTTTATCGTTAGCGTCATGCAGAGACGTGGCTTCACGTTGGGCGCTCAGGTAACGCTTCTCTAACGTTGTGATTCGCTCCTCCATGTCCTCTCTCTGTGCCAGGGCCTGTGGGGTAGGACAAGGACCATATGGACCACAGCTCCCAGAAGTCTCTAGGGCAGCCTAGGCTTAGAACCCCAGAACAGCCACTGCCAGGTACCCTGGGAAATGAAGTCCCCTACCATCTGGGTGTCAGAAAGGTGGTACCACACCTCCAAAAGCTGCCAGGTTCAGTCAACTTTAGGCCCCTTTCCAATTCTGAGTTAAAATGGTTTTGGGGTAGTGCCTACTTAGACAATCCTAGCATCCCACAGACTTTCTCCACTCTTTTCAAAACCTGAGGCCTTAGAAAGAAAGGAGGAGGTGCGATATGTGGCTAATTGCTTCCTTTGTCATGAAATCAGAAGAATTGGATGGTGCCCTACTACCATTGTTGTTGTACTATTACTATCATTACTGAACGATTTTGTGTTTTGCTTTGGTTTTAATATTTTTTAAATTTTATTTTATTATTTTTTGTGCGTGTGCCGTCAAATCAGATCTGACTGGTACAGGAGGAGATTGTCCCTCCTTCTCCAGCAGAGCATCTGGTGGATTCAAACCGCGTACCTCTGGGATTGCAGTGCAGCTTCTTGACGCTAGGCCACCAGAGTTCCCTAATGAATGTTTTGATCTGGGATTCTATAGAAGAATCCTGATCAAAGTGGGGGGGAAATGCAGAACAAAATGACATATTCTCACACAATCTAGAGTTTCCGGGAGCTCTGGTGGCCTAGTGGCAAGAAGCTGCACTGCAATCCCAGAGGCGCATGGTTCGAATCCACCAGATGCTCTTCTGGAGAAGGAGGGGCAATCTCCTCCTGTACCACTCAGATGCAATTTGATGGTACACACACACAAAAGTAAAAAAATAAATCTAGAGTTTCTGCAACCCTAATATTATTGCCCTGAGATCTTTAAACAATAAGCCAGAAACATATCCTTTAAAGAAGTTTTCTTTAAATCAAATAAGAGCTTAGCTTAATTATAAGGAATACATCATATATCGGGATCAAGTTGACAATAGCAACTTAAAATATCAGGTGTTTAAGGGCAACAAGTCTATGTTAACAAGGAAAATTTAAAAAAAAGGAAAACTTCAAAAAAGGAGGATGAGAGCTGGCATGATTTAAAAAATGTAATCATCTGGTGACCTAGTGGCAAGAAGCTGCACTGCAATCCCAGAGGCGCACGGTTCAAATCCACCAGATGCTCTGCCAGGGAAGGAGGGACAATCTCCTCCTGTACCAGTCAGATCTGACGGTACACACCAAAAAAAGGGGGGGGAAATGTAATCAATATCGCTGACTTACAGGCATACTTGGTTTTATAGTATTCCAATTTCCTTAAAAAAATATACAATACAGGGGAGCTCTGGTGGCCTCGTGGCAAGAAGCTGCACTGCAATCCCAGAGGCACACGGTTCAAATCCACCAGATGCTCTGCCGGAGGAGGAGGAGCAATATCCTCCTGTACCAGTCAGATCTGATTTGATGGTACACACACAAAAAATAATAAAAATTAAAAAAAATATACAATACAATCTTGGTTAAGTCTCCAAGACAGATTCTATCTATGTGTAAACCTTTCCTTAGCTTTTCATTTTAGTGTTCTTACATCATCATCATCCTTCTGTAACTGACGTATGTCTCTCAGCATACATAATCTGTCCCACATTCATCCGTGTTGTGTGATATTTCATGAATTCCTGATTGCTTTTTAGTAACACTCCACTGTGTGAATGCACCACAGTTTTTCTTTACTCATTTGTCATTGTTAGAACACTTAGGCTGTTCCCAGCTTTTTGCTACTGCAAACAATGCTGCGACAAACATGAATGTGGGTTAGTGTTGTGGCTCTTTTTTTTTTATTTTTATTTTATTACTTGTGTGTGTGAGTGTACCATCAAATCAGATCTGACTGGTACAGGAGGAGATTGTCCCTCCTTCCCCAGCAGAGCATCTGGTGGATTTGAACCGTGCGCCTCTGGGATTGTAGTTGCAGCACCTTGCCACTAGGCCACCAGAGCTCCCCTAGTGTTGTGGCTCTTATTTCTTAGGGATGTACCCCTAGTTGTGAGATTGCTGCATCAAATGGCGTTTCTACAGAATGTGCTTGGCTTTATTACAAAGCGCCGATATTTCACTTTTTACTCCCTGAAAATTTGTGGCAGTCGTGTCTCAAGATTGCTGTTGGAAAAATGGCACCAATCTTGAGACACGGCTTTTATTGTGGGGGTTCTGGAACTGAACCGGATCTGAGGGATGCATGCACCTGGAGAAGTTGTGGACTTGCTACATGTTTTCAATTGTTCAACAATTGAAAATGCAAAGATTCAAAATCCATTTCTTATATTTTCCAGCAACTTCTGGTGCAGACCATGCTTGCAATCACGGAAACAAGTATCCTAGGGTCTCCTGGGGACAAAGTTCCCTTCCATCTGGGAAACAACGCCTTAGAATCCCATGGGAGGGGCTCCCATCTGGGAACCCATGTGGTAGGAACACACTTCCCAGCAGCCCCCGGGGAAGTCCAGGGCCTGAAATCCGAGGCGAAAGCCCTGGTAGATGATGTGAAATACATGCTGGCTCTTTTTCCTCATCCACTGTCCTCCCTCTTGAATCCAAGAGCCTCTTGGAACCTTCAAGACTATGGTCATTAGTCATCCTTCATTAGTAAATCACTGTCATGCACCAAAATCCATCCAAACAAAACACAGGCCTATAATGCGATCACCAACACCAGAAAGACATTCATTCCTTAGAACAATCAGCCCATGAGATTAAAGGGGCAACATCTGTCCCAGGGATAGACCCTCAATGAGATGAATTTCCTCCCATGACTACAACAATGGGTTCAAGCAAAACAGAGATTGTCAGGATGGCACAGGACAGGGTAAGTTTTTGGTACCAAGGGATAAATATGAGTCGTTGGCACCTAACGACAGACAACAAAGTTCAGAGGACAGAAGGATTGATGGAAACGGGAAACACAGGGACAAAGTGGGAAGAGTGCTGTTACACTGTGGGGACTGGGATCAATGTCAGGTAACATAGTATGTATGAACTGTTGAATGGAAAACTAATTTGCTCTGTCAGCTTTCATCCAAATCACAATAAAAAGTTAAAAAAATCAAAGAAATAATCCAAGGAAGCTCTGGTGGCCTAGTGGCAAGAAGCTGCACTGCAATCCCAGAGGCACATGGTTCGAATCCACCCGATGCTCTGCTGGAGAAGGAGGAACAATCTCCTCCTATACCAGTCAGATCTGATTTGATGGTACACACACAAAATAATTTAAAAAATAAATTAAAAAAAAAAAAGAAAGAATCCAGGGTCCACATTTCCCAGCAGTGCCTGCTGCTTGAAAGTTAATATCAAGAAGTGAAATACAGATAGAAGAATTCAACCTAAAGGCCAAGAATTGTCCCAAGGATAACATAAGTATTGACCTGACCAGAAAGTAACTACCTGTTGTTGTTGTTACATGCCATCGAGTCCTTGGCGACTCATAGCAACCCTATGAACTTTCTTCATTTCTCCAAGTTCAGAGAGTTTCCAGAGGCAAGCTGTTTCAGAAGTGGATGTCACTCCTGCTTCCAATTTGTTTTAATCGGGGAGCTCCACCAAACACTGTCCGCCACGGGTGACCAATATCGTATCTGGCACATCAGGGTCACAGTGTTCAGCTTCACAACCACCACAAGTTACCTCTGTACAGCAAATCGACAGAGCAGTGCTATATACACCACCTGGAAGAATATTTGACCTAGAAGAATGTACATACCTACATGTGCTAAATATCAACTCTTTGACAACAGACCAGAAACCCATTTTACAGGTCAGACAACTAAGGCTCTCAGGGGAAAAGATTCCAACACAAAGCTGTGGACTGAATCCAGCTCCAACATTCATGAGCTCTGTGACGCTGGGCAAAGGGGGGGATAGGACTCAGGGGAGGGGCAGAAGGCAGCCCGCCAGGGGCTCCGGCCTCACCTCCTTGAGGTCCCGCTGCAGCTTGGTGTTCGCTTCCTCGGCCTTACCCAGCTCACGGTGGGCGGTGCCCAGCTCCTCCTCCAGCTGGCTCATCTGGCGGCACAACACCGCCAGGCGTTCCCGCAGCTGGCACACCTCCGCTCGCTGCCGCTCCAGCGCCTCCTCCAGTTCGGCAGTGCGCCGGTTCGAGTCCCCGCCAGGCCCCAGGCCATTAGCAAGGGTCTGGAGTAAGGGCGATGAGGGAGGAAAGGTCAGGACACAGAACGGGAGAAATGCAAAGAGAAGGCCAGAAGGTTGGTTCTACTTTGCACTTGGGGTGGCCAAGTGCAGGAATAAACTCAACGGTAACTAACAGGCAGGGTGTGGGTAGAACGGAATTCCCACAGGTCAGGGTGAGTTATAGAACTAGGTAGGTGACATGAATCAGAAATCAAAAGTCAGGGACCGTAGAGTCAGTGAGGGTCGAACTTGGAAAGGGCCAACACACAGTCACTGCGTGGAGCAGAGGTCACAGACATGGGGGGCAGTAAGATGCAGGAAAGGAGGCTTTCCACCTCTCTCACCTGCCCGTCTCCATCCTTGCCGCCCTCCTCCAGCCCTGAGCGCCTTCTGGACATCTGCTCTCGAAGGTTCAGAGTCTGAGAAAACAGAGGGGGATTCAGGGGAAGCAGGCTCTGGGAACCCTAAGATCCATTTAGCTTGGACATCAGATTTCTGATAGAGAATGCCTCCTTCTGAGCTGTATCTGTATGTGCTGGAGTCACACCCCAGGGTCTACTCATAAACATACCCACATGCGTTCTCCCTGGTGGTGCCCCCATTATCTCTTGTAGATATGTAGCCTTAGCTAAATTCCCCTTTATCCTTTTGCGGTTTCTTCTTGATCCCTGCCTTCCCTCATCCAATCACACTTTCCTTTGATTCATCCATCCATTGATTATTCCTTTTGGTCTGTCACTGATTCTCCCCTTACTCTTGCCTAATGAGTTCCTTCTCTGTAATCCCACTGGATGTCTCCAACCCCACTCCTTCTCTTCCCTAGCCCTGCCCTCAACTGATTCTCTTGCAAGCCCCCTTCAGTCCTAGATCTTGCCCCACGGGTACCTCCTTAACCCCACCCCTATTGGCTCAATCCCCTTTTTGGCCACCGCCCCCCACCTCTTGATTGCTCAGCTCCAATTCTTCCTCTAGCACAGCTACCCGCTCCAACGCCATCCGCAGCCGCTCACGGACCTAAGAAATGGGAGCGCGACAGGTGTCAGGTTGAGATCGGAGCCAATCTAGGACAGCTGACTGTGACCCAGAACGCTGAGACAGGTCTGATTGGTCTGAGCACCCCAAACAGCTACCTCACAGGTTAAAACAGGACCCCGTAGGCAGTCCCACATGCTGATATCCCACACTAGTTCTTTTTTATTATTAACCGGTCAGGTCCCACTGTTTGTCCTGTTTCTTTTTTCTTCCCCCCCCCCTTAGGGATGTAGAACCTCCATATTCACTTAGAGGGGCACGGCATACGCCCTAAAAGGTGACAAGGTCCATCTACTGCTGTATGAACCACTATTTAAACCGCTGCTACAATGTCCTGTTTCCATCACCTTCAACACTCTTCTCACAATAGGCACCTCTAGTCAATCATAGATTTGCGTTCATTCAATATAGCCCTAACCAATCACAGCTAGAATTCCTTCCAGGTCCAGCCAACCACAGCCAGAATCTCATTCATTCAAGGACAGCACTAGCCAATCAGGGACAGAATCCCTCCCAACCTCCCACCCCATAGCTCAAGCCAACCAAGCCAGAATCCCTCCCATGCTGGACAGCTCCAGCCAATCACAGCCAGAGACCCTCCCACTCGGGAAAGCCCCAGCCAATGAAGGGTTTTCCTTCTGCACGCTTCCTATTCCAGGCCTCACACCTTCTCATCCAGGGCCTTGTGGTGCTCGAAGAGGGATTTCAAAGCCTTGAGCACCTCCACCTCGGAGGAGACCCCGCCAGGGGACTGTGCTTGACGCTTCACCACAGTCATGCGCAGTGACCTTTCGTGCCTGGACACCAGACATTCTAGGTGTTCGAGGAGGAGCTACAAGAATAAGGTTTTAAAAAATAGAGTTAGTGGCAAGAAGCAGCCCTGCAATCCCAAAGATGAGCGGTTCGAATCCACCAGATGCTCTTCTGGAGGAGGGACAATCTCCTCTTGTACCGCTCAGATCCGATTACACACACACACACACACACACACACACACACAAAACAGGGTTAAAGAATAGGGTTGGGTTTTGTTGTGGTGGTGGTGGGTTGGTGTTTGTTTGTTTGTTTGTTTGTTTTTAAAAAGGAGTAGGGTGTTGGGTAAGGAAGGTCAAGGAGGAGCAGTTCAAAGAAGTGGAGTCCACGAAGAGGGTAATGAGATAAGCAAGTCAGGAGGATTTAGAGATGGTGTCCAGGGAGATAGAGGAGACATGAAGGAAGGAACAGGACCAGAGGTGGGGCAGCATCCAAGGGGAGATAAATCCGAAAAAAGATGCGTCAGGTGGCAAATTTGGGCTCACCCACCTGACCTAGGCCCGCTCTCAGCACCACTTACCCGCGTGTTGTTCCGCTCTGCCTTCAGCTCTGCAATCTCTTCCTCCCGCTCCAGCAGCTGCTCTCGACATAAGTTTAGTTCCTTAGTCAGAGCTGCAAACTCCTGTCCGGGTGTGAGCAGCATTGGGACAACCTGATCAGTCTCTCATTCCAAGGCATATGGAGGCTGCAGGCCACGCCTCTCTCTGCCAAGCCCCACCTCCCCTTTCATGCCGCTTCAGCCCCGCCCATCAAGGAAAGTCTCCTCCCCTCCGGCGCACCAAGCCCCGCCCCTTCCGGACCGCCCCACGGGCGCCCTCACTGGTCGAGACCCCGCCTCCCTCGGGCCCCGCCCCCGGCCCCGCCCAGACCTGGGGCAGCGCGATGCTGAGCTGGCGCTGCAGCGAGTCCTTCTCGTGGCCGAGCTCGCGCAGCCGCAGCTGCGCCGTCGCGAGCCCGTCCTGCGCCTCGCGCAGCGTCTCCAGCAGCCGCTCGCGCTCCGTGAGCATCGTGACCATGAGGCGCTCCAGCTCGCCGCCCGCCTCGTCCGGGCCCAGCGCCGAGCCCCGCCGGCCATCCTCGCTGATGGTGGGCATCACCTCGCACATCATGGCGGCGGTGCCGGCCTGCAGGCAGGGGGAGGGGGCAGAGAGCTGAGGCCGGCCTCAGAAGGCACAGGCGGGGAAACTGAGGCACGGCTCCTTGGCTACTACCTGGGGGAAACGAAGGTGGGGCAACACAACATTGGACAGAAAGGGAAAATTGGGGTGCATTCAGCCTCTTTATGGCACGGGGGAAATTGAAACCTATTGCTCTCAGGATAACATGCCTAGTTACCTGGGTTAGAGCACGTGAGGAAGCTGAGGCTTAACTGCAGCAAAACAGGCGTGGCACTCTCAGGTGTTGGAGACAACGTGGGAAACCTGGTCGCCACCTGTTCTGCACTGGCAGAGAATCCCAACCCATTGTATGGAAGCTAAAACTGAGGCCTGGGGTCAGAACCCTTGGCAGTCACGCCCTCAGGAGGTCATATGGCTGGGGTCACAAAACTAGGTCACTAACACATGAATCTGAGTATAAGGTCACTTGGCATGGTTCTCACCTACTATCTAACTCAGTTTCACAGATAGATGGAGTCCACCTGGGAAGAGTCTCCAGCCCCACTCTGCTTGTTGAAAAGCAAAAATATGGGGGGGGGGGGGGCGAGGTTTATTATGCTGGTTCCCTGAGTCCTCAGGAGTTTGAACTTTTCTCCTCTTCCTCAATCCTAGAAGTCAGTCTGGCCCTCTGCGTCCTTGTCTCAGAAATCCCAGCTGCCAGACCTTTCTTGTCTTAGGACCCAGGAGTCCAGGTCCCCTCCTCTCCTCAGCCTTATAGAGGCTGCAACTTAAAAGGGAAAAGTGGAAGGGGGCGGGATTTCTCTCGGGCAGGGGAGAGAGACCTGGGTCACTGAAGCCAGAGGTGGGGCTGAGATAAATGGAGGCCCCCTGAGCCGCTCCCTCAGGAGATAGCAGGTCAGACGGGTCCAGCTGGCCCTGCCGAAAGCAGAGAACTTTCACTCTGTTCCTGCCTTGCCTTCTCCTGCTTAAGGCAATAGCATAACCGGTTCTGGAAGTGGATAATTCACAACCCCACCCAATATGCAGTCTGCACTTAAACCCTTAGGACTGCACCCTGAACTCTGCTGAGAGGAGGGGGCTGCAGGTCCTGGGGTAGGAAAGGACAGTCTATCAAGTGGTGCATCCGGGAATCTAGACCCCTGCAATCCTGGTATTCAGAGGCCAAGAGTCAGGGAAAATGCAGAAAAGAAGACTGGCCAGCCCTGGACAAACACCATTTTGTCATCTAAAAGTCAGAGCTCAGGATGTTTTAGGGAGTGAAGTGGTCTCGAACTTCAAATGCACTGATACAAAACAGCAGTGCTGGGTATAGAATCTAGAAAGGCACTGGAATGAAGGCACAAAGCAAAAAGAACAAATGAATACCAAGTGGTGATGAGATCCACACATAGGGTCAAACAGGGGCTATTCTCGAACCTGGGTCTGAAACCTGGAATGTTGAACTCAACCAGGAGCAATCTAATAACCTCAGAATATCTGGATGACCACGGAGTCCCAAGCAGGGGAGCACGAGGTATATAAAAGCAAACTTAATGCAATACACAACTAAACTCAGGGAAAAGACATGATGCAGAACTCAGAAGCCACCAGGGAGACGCCAGGGTAAAACAGCATAGCAAAGGAAGTATTCTTGGTTTTACCCTGTGTCTAGGTAATGCTAGATTCCAGAAAACAGAAGTCATGCCCTAGAATTCAGAACATACCCTAAAGGCACAGAAAAGCCTAGACCTTTGCAAGAAGCTTCCTGAAATCTCTCTTATGTCTGGGATATGGAAGCAGATACTCTGAAAACTGAGCATGTCCCAGGATAAGGACCAGTAAAGGAGAAAGGAATAGATTCTAGCGTATTTCTAGGGTGGAGATCTTAGAAGAGAGCCTAGAACTTACTTAGGATTCCAGATGTGGTACTTAAATGGAGGCAAAAGTACATAATCCATCGAGGACAAATCCTTGAATAAAAACTTGGCAGGGAATTGGACAGAGGCAGGGATGAAATAGGTATGTAGATAAAAGACAGATAAGACCTAGAACACATCAGTGGGAATTTTCCAGATTCAACATGGTTGAGAGTGGACTTTAGGTTCTTCTAAAATACCAAAGTACCTTCTAGAATTGATGAGACAATCTGAAGAATGGCTAGAGACAATAATGGGAGGGTCCACATTCTAGAACTTGGAATGTTCCCGGGAAGATAATAGAATCTAGGGCAAACCCAGTGATGTGGTTGGAACCTAGAACATATCTGACATGATATTTTAGTTGTGAATAAACAAAAGACTGGGTTCTAGAACCCTAGAGCATGTCCAAGAAGGGAGGGGGGTTTAACAGAATTTATTTTAGGGATATTATCTGGGTATTTGAAGGCACAACTGGAAAACACCTAGGCTTAGAGAGCTCTGGCGGCCTAGTGGCAAGAAGCTGTGCTGCAATCCCAAAGGCACACAGTTCAAATACACCAGATGCTCTGCTGGAAAAGGAGGGGCAGTCTCCTACTGTGCCAGCTGGATGTGATTTGACAGCACACAACAACAACAACAAAATAAAATAAGAAAACACCTAGGCTATAGCATCTAACTAGATGTAGGACGTTTCTTGGGTAAGGACTGAACAGCCATGAAAGCTGAACAAGTTTAAGATAAGAAGAAGATCTAGAACAGTGAGCATTGCAAGAGCACATACATAAACAGAAATGTGGAAGACAGGTAAAGGTAGGGTCTTGAACACCTAATGAGCCCGGACCACAGAACACACTTGGAGGAGGGATGTGTATCAGGCTCCAAGGCCTTCAAGAGTGGAGGGCAGGGTGTTTTATGAGGGGCCTCAGGGAGGCAATGAGATGCTGGAAAAAACTCAAGAAGATAAAGCTTTAGGGAGGAGAATGGAGAAGAAAGTTCCAGTGAGCCCAGCACCTGAGATGATATGAGAAGAAAGAGAGGCTGACCATCAAGGCCCCAGGAGATGTGAAGTTGATAGGGCTGCACGGGGGCCAGGGCCCCTTTGAGAGTTGAACAACAAGCTCTCTCGGGTCTTGGGACCTGGACTCTTGAATCCTTGCATGGAGGAGTGGATGGAGGTCAGGGTGGGGTTGCAAGATTCTTGGAAACCTGAGTCCTTTTTGGAATGGAGGGCTGGGACCTATGGCCTCAATTAAGGCTGTGCAGAGGCTGCCGCTAAACTTGTGGGTCTTTCAGGGAATGGAACACTGGGGACAGACATCCAGTCTCCAGGGGGAAGGGTGGGCACAAGCCCAAGAATTGTGTTCTGGCTTCCTAAAAGGGAGCGAGTCATGGCGCCTGGATCCCTAAAGGGGCAGATGCTCGATGGGGGTGGGGGTGACTGGGTGTTTGTATCCAAGGGGCACAGGGGCTGGTGAACTGGGTCTCCAGAAGGGTTGAAGCTGGGTTCCTAAGGTGCTAAGGAGGTGAGCACTACCAGCTGGATTGTAAGCCAGATGGGGTGAGAACCAACGGGGCTCCCAGAGTGGGGTTGGAGCTGGAGCCCCGGATGCTAGGGTCCCCAAGGTGGACAGGGCAGGGACGTGCAGAAGACTGGGTTCCTCAGGGAGGGACCCGGCTGCTGAGGATGGGGTCCCAGGATCCTGGCCAGCGGGAGCCTGAGGCCCAGGCACTTAGGTAGGGGTATCCCCGGGTCAACAGCGCGACGAGGGGATCCCCGCGCCGCCCGCGCCCCCTCCCCGGCGGCAGCAGGCAGTGGGGGAGGCGAGGCTGCCGAGCCCGACCATGGACAGCTCCAGAGCGGGCCTGTGTCCAGGGCAGCCGCCGAGCCGGCCTGGGCAGGGGGACAGGACTGCCCTGTCTGTACCGAGAAGGCGGACACCGGGTACCAGGAGAGGGGGCAGTGATGCGGGCGCCACAGGAGTGGTCAGCCGTGGCTAGGGGAGCCCACCTAGCCACGGCGGTGGATCTGGGCCGAGGAGGGGCAGCCAGGTTCAGAGAGGATCCCGGGGGCTGGACTGGGAGATCCAGGCTCCTGGGCCTGGAGGAGGCGCACAGTGGCTGTCCGCCCGGGTTTCTGGGGTTCAATGGGGACTCTAGGTGCCGAGAGCGGCACACCTGGGTTCCTGAGGGTGGGCTGTCCAATCGGGGCTCCGGGTCCCCGGGGATGAGGAAGGGAAGCTAGGATCTGGGGGAAGCGGGGGAGGTACGGCGAGGGGTGCCAGGGTGGGCGCTGCCAGGCGGGCCGGCGCTTACCTACCTGGTCCGCGGCGGCTGCGGGCGGAGCTGGGCTGCAGGAGGGACGTGGGGTGGGGTGGGGGCACCGGGCGGGGCCCCTGGCGGCGGCCGGGGCCCAGATCTGTGGCTCCGGATCCCTGCTCTGCCGCTCGCGCGGGCTCCGTGTCTCTGGCTCCTGCTTGGGCGCTGGGGACCCCCTCCCCCTCGCGGTCTCACAGTCCTTAGCCCCCCGAAACAGCCCCTTTTTCCTTGTCACTACTCAGCCTCCCCTTACAAGGCCGCAAGCCGCCAGATCCAGGGGTGCCCACCAGCGCCCCCCAAATCCCACCTTCTCCCCCCAAAAATATTCCTCCTCCCTCCCCCACCCCCCCACAACTCCAGGGCTGTCGTGGCCCCTTTAACAGGAGACTGACAGACCGCGCTGGGTGGCCAATGGGAGGCTGCGTCGGCACCGGCCGGCGACAGGGCCCCGCCCCCACACGGGCTGGGAGGGGTGGCGCGGGCGGAGAGTGGGAGGCGGGGCTCTAGGCACGTTGTCCAATAGGCGCGCGGCAAAAGGCGGCTAGGGCGGGAGGCGGAGCCCGGCAGGAGGATGATGTCACCTGCAGCGAGTGAGCGCGGCGTGGAACGCGAGTCGCGACCCCGGATCCCGGCGGGGGCGCGCGACAGTTCTCGCGCCGCACGGGACGGGAAGGCTGGGTGGGCGGCGGGGTGGGGATCAAGGCTGGGTTTCCAGGTGGGGGCGGGCCAGAGAAGCACTCGGGGTGGAAGGTGAGACGAGGGCCCCCCAGTCGCAGAGTGCACCTTCTTCTGCATCCCTGCGCCCGCTACGGGAACTGCACGCGGCACCCCACCCCCGCCTCCCACGCCGACGGTGGTGAGGTCTGCCGGGCTCCCCCGGCGGCCGAGGCTAATGGTTCACTCCGCCCGGCCCACACAGAGCCCGCCCACTGGCCCCTGCAGCGTTTCTGGACTCCTCCATCAGGCGGGCTGCAGGAGGCAGGGGTTCCCTCCGCGACCAGCCTCCCTTAAGAGTAGGGGGCGGTATTAGCAGTTCAAGTCCTGCAATCACATCTACCCTCCACCCTTAGACCAGCCCCTGGCCGCCAGCCCTCTGTCTCTCCTGCTTTCAGACTCGACCTGGACACCTTCTGGGCTTGACATTTGACCTCGGTTTCCCCTTCTCCCAGACATCTTAACTGCAGAATTTGGGACAGACTCACAGACACACAGTCAGGGTCAAAGAGCTTTAAATGAGGGGCCAGTGACAATAAATACTGTACAGGGAGGAGGAGCTGGGAGGGGAAAGGCCAGATCGGAGGTTTCAGCCTCGAGACTCCAAGGACCTGCAAGGGGGGTGAAGAGAGGGGATGCAGGCTCAGGGGAGAGGCCAAGGCGGGGTTCCAGATCTTAGTTTGGAGGTGGGCTACGGGAATATGGGGGGATTTGGCCAGAATGGGCTGGGGAAGAGGGGCCTGGGTCAGGGTCCCAGGAGCAAGGGGGCTGGGGTGATGAAGACCCGTGCGGGGAGGCAGGTGGGGTGCTGTTCTCACGAATAGCTCTGGTGTTGCTGGCGCCGGCGCGCAGATCGCATCTTCTCGAAGCGGGCCTCCATCTCCTCGAGCACGCGGGGTGTGTAGCGCACCACCAGCTTCACGGAGCCCTGGGCCGCCTTCAGCAGCTCCACCGCCTTCTCGTGCTGCTCACCCTCCACGCTCTGCGGGGCAGTGCACCCCGCTGGACATGCGCATGGCCTTCACGCAGGCCGCAGCCCAGACACAAGCCATATCCCGAGATGCTAAGGCTTCCTCCCCCCCCCCCCCAGTCCTTCCATCTTGGCTCCGTGTCCTCCCCACAGTCTCACAGATCCTCAGACCTCCAGGACCAACCTTGACCCCTCTTCCCGCAGTGCTCTAGTTCCAGCCCCCACCTTCCTGTCCTCTCCCCCTGAACTCTTACCTTAAGCCCCCACCTGCCCTTCTGACCATCACAATCTCCATTCATTCTGCCCCTCACAAAGTCCCATAGGGGTCTTTCTACACCCCAAGCTGAACATATCCCTCTTCTGTTCCCAGCCCTCCCATGACTCCCCAGTGCCCTCAGGATAAAGTTTCTCTGGTTTCTCAGGTGGGCTCTTGGGCCCTGCATAGCTGGTCCCACCCACACACCCAACTATGGCCTCTGCCTACAACAGAAGCAGAATTCTGCATCTTACCCTACAGATCGGCTGGTGAATTCAAACCAAGCTTTTGGTTAGCAGCCAAATACCTAAGTATGTACACACTATACCATGAAGGCTCTTTCCATCAACTTTAACCACCAAGGATTAGCTATAGGCCCCAGACCTCTATCAGAGCCTTTTCTCTGCAGCTCAGAAGAATACTGGGTCACAGCCAGGAACACCCTTCGTCCCTGTGTTTACTTGGAGAACTCCTACTCATCCTTCAAAACAATTCAAACGTTCCTTTCTCTGTAAAAATTTCCCTCAGCTAGACTGGTCTGGTGCTATATCAGGACCCTCAAAATGCTTTATCTCCTCCATTACAACACATTATCTTTAAATGAGGTCTATTTCAGCCAAGATCTCTCTAGCGGAGAGGTGGTCCTCCCATTCAGGAGTGAAGGACAGGACAGCTTCTCTCTGAGTCAGCAGCACTGCCCAATACAAAGTCTAGTGTGTTGAATGAGTATCAAAAGCAAAGACCTTGCACAGTTCATAAACCCAGGCCAGTCTCTATTCCCCACTTACCACACCATTCACTGACAGGAGCTGGTCCCCTCTCTTGAGGCCTCCATGGCGGTCAGCCACACCCCCAGGGATGACCCGGGAGATGTAGATGGGGGAGTTCTGCTCCTTGCCTCCCATGATGTTGAAGCCCAGCCCTTCATCTGTCTTGGGCAGCTCCACCACCCTGGGATGGGCATGGCCCTCACTGGCCGTGAAGGCAGCCACGGTAGCCTGGGAGAGAGAAGGTGTCACAGGTGATAGTCCTTCTGTGGCAGGCATTCAAAACGAGGTGGGGCATCTGCACCAGGGAGAACAATTTAGGGGGAATCACGTTCCCCAACTGACAGCACCTGCCACTACAACACACGATGCCCTGTAACAGCGCTAAGCCCTTTTGAGTTACTTCGGACGCCCCTGACATGTCAAAGAGCAACTCTCTGTTTCGGTCCAGGGTGTCTTTAATACCCAACACTTGCCCTTCTGGCTTTGGGACAGAAAAACAAAATCAAACCAAAAAAACAAAACACGAGGCCTAGAGGGAGCCGAGTACACCCAAGCAGCAGCTAGAAGTAGCATCTAGTTATATGTTAATTATGGAGTCTCTGACTGATGGCACAAACAGCTAAGCACTGCAACTAATCACCCGGAGGTGCCTCCAAAGAAATGCCTGGCAATCTGCTCTCAAAAGGTCACACCCTTGGAAACCCTAGAGTCCCTTTTCACTCTGCACATACCTATGGGCTCCTGTGAGTCACAGATGACTCAAAAACGGATTTTTAAAAAAATAGATATGTTCATTAGATTTCAACACTCAGTGTTTTAAATATACAGATTATTAAAAGTTACTCTCTTGCACAAGGCACTCTTTCTAGTTGGAATTGCTATAAAGGTAGGTTTTGTATGGCATTGCTTTAAGTAAAAATAAAGAAAAAAAGATCATCTAGAGCAAATAATATTAGTAAGAGGCAAATAATAGTAAAGATGGCACATGAATAAACAAAGAGCTAAACTGTTTTCTAAAAAAAAAAAAAAAGAGCTAAACTGTTAGCAAGCGATCGATTCTAATTCATGGTGACCCCACGTGTTACTGGGGTAAACTACTCCCGCGAGGTCTTCTTGGTGGCCATCTTTACAGAAGCAGATTGCCATACCTTTCTTCCACAGCACAGTTGAGTCAGGTTGGAACCACCAACCTTTCAAGAGAGTAATCAAGCACAAGCCATGGATATGGATTTGGCTAAAGTGGCAAAGGACGCAGCAAGAATGACCGCCATTATTATATTGAGCTAGGCCATGAGAGGCAATGGAGATGTGGGGTGCAGGGCACCCACCTTGGCTGTGGCATGAGCCCGGATCTCTGCACTGCCCGTAATGTCCAGTGTGTCATAGAGCTGCTCATACACCTGGAAATGACAGTGACATCAAGGGACCCCACCTCCCTCAGACTTGGGGATCCTTACTCCCCAAGACCTCTTCTCCTCCTGACATAGTAGTCTTTATCTCTTAACTCCTCCTTCCCTCAAACCCGAGAGTCCAGAGCTTAAGATCTTCTCTTCCTTCCCACTTAAGCAACCACCCCGCTCTCCCCAGCTCCAGCGAACTACAACTCCCAAAGAGCCCTGGGGCAGAGGCGCAGGCACCGTCGGGCGAACCGCCCCAGAGGCTGCTGGGAGGTGTAGTCCTGGGCTCCGGCGGCGGCGCTCACCTCCCGGATGGCAGAGCAGAAGCGGCTCTGCAGGACTCGCTGGAGCGCCTGCAGCTTCTGCGGGGGCAGCTCCCCGCTGCGCTGGAGCCGCTCGAGGAGCTCAACGGCCCGGGACACGTCTGCAAGGCGAGGGGGTGTGCAGAGATGCGGAAGACCCCGAGGGATGAGGAGGACCCCGAAAGATGAGGCGAAAAGGCAGCGTTAAGGGACGCGCAGACACACCCCGCGCAAGACAGCCGAGAGCCGGAAGGCACCCCGTAGTCTTGGGTGGCAACGGAGAGGCTGCGACCCGTCAGCGCCCCGGAACCCCAACATCAACCAATACTGGCAGAGTGTTGGCGGGCGCCCTTGCCCTGCCGATCGCCCACAGAGCCTCCTACGCCCCTGCCCTCGGGTTCCCCGCCCCGCCCACCTCCAGAGGCCTGCCTGCCCACCCAGCCACCCGGCCTGGCCTCGCCTGGGGCAGTGGGATGTCACTGGACACCCGGGACAGTCGGGGCCCCCTGGGGCGCACTCACCCCGCTCCAGCCCCAGCGGCTCCACCAGCGCAGCCATGTCGGCGCCGCTGCTGCAAGCCACCCGCTGCCCTGTCGCCGGCGAGGGGGCGGGGCTTCGAGAGGCCCCGCCCCGGCGGCGCCCTAACACCCCCCGCGGAGACACCCCAGCGTCGTCTGCCCCCCACCTCTAGCCCCCGCGCGGAGGTACCTCGGCGCTGCTACTGAGACCATCAAATCTCCCCCTTCGCCTTCAATGATCTGCCACCTTAGCCCGGCTCTCCCCTCTCTGGTCAGATCTCTTTATATTCATTCATCCAAGGGCAGCAGACCTCAAGGAGAGCAAGGTTGCCAAGTCCCGCTGCCCAGCCCTGGGGTGCACAGCCTGGACGGGGGAGAGCCAGGCCAGGTTGTGGCTGGAAATAGGAGTGGGGATGGTGACCTGGCTGGTAGTACTTGGATGCTAAGGAGCCCATTTCACTCCTGGCAACTCCACAAGACAGTATTCGGGTTCCCTAAGCTGTACTCTCAACGCAAACAGTGTGCCAGGCCTTTTCGCCTGCAGTGCCACTGTGTAGAGTCAAACTGCCAACCTTTCAGTTGAGAGGTAAGCCTCAGTGAAGCAGACTGGCAACTAGCGTTTGGAAATGCAATTGCACACCTGCCACCTCCCTGACAGGAGGGGAGCGTGTTTGTCCTCAAGTTGGAACCCCTAAAGAAAAGCTCACAAGGTCTGACAAGAGTTAGGGTTGGGTGGAGCTGTTTATGACAAAGGTGGACCAGTCAGTAGGATAGTTCAAGTCTGCTGGTATAAGCATGGATGTTCTCCCAAAGGTCTTAAGTTCAAACTCACCAGTTTCTCTGCAAAAGACAGATGAGACATTTATAGTTGGAAACCCAAATGGGTCAGTTAATTCTGAATAGACTCGTCAGCCTACACTGAAAAATGAAACAAAAAATTGGGGACAGGAGTCTTTTTCTTCTTAAAATACTGCGACTTTTTTTTTTTTTAATGTGTGTACCGTCAAATCAGATCTGACTGGTACAGGAGGCGATTGTTCCTCCTTCAGCAGAGCATCCGGTGGATTTGAACCACACACCTCTGGGATTGCAGTAGTTTCACCAGAGCTCGCCTCTGGGACATTTCTTGCACACCTAATTATTGAACCCTTTAAGTTGGATGCTGTTCCCTGCACTCTCATGTGACCGTGTCTCTCAGACAAGCACCGGCAGCCGGTGGCCTCGTGGTGCAGAGCCTTCCTCTTGTCTGGCTTGGGAATGACATCTGCCACAGGTCGCCTTCTGAAGATGTCTGAGTTTTAGAATCCTAGTGTTGGTAAGATGTTAGCCTTAAGGAGCCACTTTCCAGGAAACGAGTCTCTTGTCATCTCGTTTCTGTGGCGTTAAGACTTGTGTATACAAGTTGGCTAGTACCTCATCTTCCAAGAAAAGCTTTTTTAGATTTGAGGAGGGTGATCTAGGGGGAGTCGCTCTCTCCCTCTCAGCAATCTTCTTTCCTCCTCTTCTTCAAAAGTTAATGTATTTACAGGACAAAACCAAGATCAAATAACACCTACTGAAATAAACCAGTCCAATATCCCGCCAAGCAGCTGGAACGTTTAGATGTGGGATCGAGTCGTTGCTTTTCTGTATCTGTGAGACATGGGGGTTCTTGACAGATCAATTTTAGGTGTGATGGAGTCTGCTGTCATGGACCTCTCCAGAGAAAGGTGTGAAGATGTCAGTCTAGAGACTAAGGTGCACCTGGTCTTTTCAAGTACTTCCTGTGAGTCAGAGCGCTGGATAATGACCAAGGATGACAGAAGAATCGATGCCTTTGAGCTGTGGTGCTGGAGAAGAGTACTGAACATACCATGGACCGCCAAGAATAAACAAGTCTGTCCTGAAAAGGATGAAACCAAGCTGCTCTATGGAGGCAAGGATTTAGAAGCCCCGTTTCACATACTTTGGGCATCCTGCCAGGAGAGACTAGTCCTTGGATACGATCATGCTTGGAAGGACAGACAACACAGGAGAGGAACACCCTTGACATAGTGACTGTGGGAATGGGGGGCAAGTATGTTGTCTCACGATAGGCCAAGGTTCAGAGCTACTGTGCATAGGGTCATAGTGAAGCAATTTGACAACACATATTGTTTTTCTAACATTTTCCCCTCTCTTCCCACAATGTTACATACAGTAGCAGGTTTTCATGGAAATCAGTGAACTTTAAAGGTTTGCTGTGGAGGCCAAGGTGCTGCTGCTGGCCGTGACCAAGCAAGAGCTCAACTCATGGGGACCCTTTGTGGGCAGGGTGAGTACTGCTCAGTGGTTCTTCGTGGCTCTGAGTTCTTCAGGTCGTCCTTCCAAGACACTGCTGGGGGAGGTAAAACAGCCTCAGGTAAGCAGGTTTGGAAGTGCTCCATAAGCTTTGCAAATTATGACCTCTTATGGACTGGCTGGTGAATTCAAACTGCTGCCCTCAACAGTTAGCAGCCTGATAGGCCCCGCACATCACCAAGGTTCCTAGACTTCCTGAATGTACTCAAGAGCAAGGTCACCTTGCAGATCACGACGTACAAGGCACTTCTTCCTTCCCTCTTCAGACCATGGTATTTCCAATTGTCGCACATACACATGAAAGTTGGACCACACACACAGCAGACTTTAGAGAGTACTGGTATCTCTGAATTGTGGCTGAAGAACACCAAATATACTCTGTAGACCACACAGAACAACAAATGTTTTTTCCTGGAAAAGTAATCAGACTCCTCCTTAGAGGCAACGATGGTGAAACTTTGTCTCTTATTCTTTTGACATTACCAGGAGGGCATCATGTGTAACACATGTTACCAGGAGGGCATCATGTGTAACAGATCAATTTTAAGGCCAGCTCGTCAACCTTTAAGTTTAGCTGCCCAATGCTTAGCAATCCCAGATCAGCACATTATTAGGTGGCAGCAAATGTCTTGAGGGAAGACCACGTTCCTGGGGACTTTCATTTCCTCCTGTGGAGAATCTTGCCTCCAAGCCTCAGCACCCCAGCAGCCCAGGCCGAGCTCCACTCCCTAGACTGCCAGAGCTTGAAGAGGTAAACGTCGCTGAAGAAATCCCTCCAGTTGACTACAAGTCACCCAGCCCTCCTCTGGGTTTTTAACGTTGCAAATCTTAAGAATTCTAGCCTCCTTCCTCCTGGCACAACAGCTTGTCCATCCACTCCCCACTGCAGTTAAAGTGACGCCAACTCATACCATCCTCCTTTCTCCCACAGCAGATTCAAACTGCTGACTTTTGGGTTTGTGGCTCAATTACTTGCTTTGCCACAGGCTCATCTTCATTCAGCCCTTTACGATCAGTCTCTGCCATGTCAGTCCCACAGACCACTTTTCAAAATCTGTACTAGGAATCTAGGTCCAGCCCCGCCGTTGACGCCGCTCTGTCCTCTGCTGTGCTCAAGTCCATGGGCAAAGTCGGCATCTGTCTACCTGATCTTTGAGCATCCACTAAGCAAAACCAAGTATTCTTAGTCCTTACTCTTGATTTTGTTTTGGCTCTTGAACTCGACAGTCTACTGCATAGATTTTTTTCCCCCCCAAACGCTTGGTTATCCTCAATACCAGGCAGTCGGGATTAACTGGCTAAGTGCTAACAGGCTAAATAAAGGGCTAAGAAGGCTGGCTTAGGCCCGAGCAGGGCACAGGTTGAGTAAGGCTGGTTTTACTCATCTCCCGTCGCCTTGTTGTCCAGGAGCTATAGCTCTGCCAGGCTGGCTGGGTTTCTCCAGGTGTCAGTGCCTTGGCCTGGGGTCTTCTCCCCATTGCTTTTGCTCACAACGTGCTCAAATCCCCACTGCTGCTGACCACCTCCTGGTCCTGCACCTCACTCTTCCCACTGGGGTAGGAAGTATGGACATAAATGCAAACTGCCAAGTTCCCATTCTCACCTGTTTCATCTTTTTCCTGCACACTCAGCCAACAGCTCCCTTTTCAACACGTAAGCTTCTTCCTGGCAAGTCCAGAGCCCTCTGGTCTCAGAAACTGTGAAGAGCAGAGGAGGAGGTCCTTCCTGGACCTGGCTGAACAGCGCTGCTGTACGTGAGCCAGCCACAGCCTCAGCTTACACCAAAAGCTCCAGGAATGGCCCGGAAATGAGCCAGAGCAGAGGTTGGGGACAGCCCCTCCAAGACAAAGCCATCCGAGCAGCGCTCTAAAGCAACAACATGGCCACCGTCAACAGGAAATTAATTTTATTTTTCAAATGCAAGGGACCAAAACAAACGTTGAGATTCCTACCCTTGGCTGCAAACCTGCGGCCAACAGACTTGGGGGAAGACAGGACAGTAGGGAGTGGCTAACACACGTCCAAACAGAAGCAGGCGGCAGGGAGGTTTCACTCCGGGGCCGCCTCCATCAAATACCCGTTCTCGGGAGCCAGGTACCCGTCGCCGCCCTCGGACTCCATGTACATGTCTCGGCCATCGTTGCCCAGACCCTCTAGCCCATTGTCCTGGCCCCCACCGCCGCCCCCACCGCGGGCCTCATCCCGGCCCCGCTCCCCACCCCGCTCTCCCCTCTTGTGCTCCCGATCCCGGTCTCGGTCCCGGTCCCGGCGCCTCTCCCGCTCGCTCCGGTGGCTCCGACGTCGGTCCCGGTCCCGGTCCCTGCCCTTCTCCTCGGGACCATCAGGACCGTCGGGACCAAGCTCCCCGGGAGCCCCGTCGTCAGGAGGTGCATCCCCGGCCTCAGAGGGATCCGCGATGTCGCCCCCGCCCCCGCGCATCTCCTCCTTGCGTTCCCGCTCCCGCCGGGCACGCTCCCGGCTCCGGCTGCTGCGCCGCTTGCGGTCGCGGTCCTTGTCCTTGCTCCGCTCCCGGGAGCGCCGCCTCTCCTCCTTGTCCCGGCTCCGTGAGCGCCGCCGCCGGTCCCGAGAGCGGGAGCGTCGCCGTTCCCGTTCCTTGTCTCGCTCACGGCTCCGTTCTCTGCGCTCCCGCTCGCGGTCCCGGTCCCGGTCCCTGTGGGGAAGCGGGGATGGCCCGGGCCTGGATGAGGGGGGCAGAGGTTTGCGGCTGGGCTCCCCCTCGGTTGTTACCCCAGCCCAAGACCCCGGGCACCCCGTCCTCACCTCTCATCGTAGCGGGAAGTATCGTCTCGGCCCGAATGCCGGATGTTCACGTCGGCCCCACCTCTGCGGGTGCCGCCGAGGCCACCCCCTGGGGACAGGAGAGAGGAGGGTCAGGGCACCGCAGGAACAGAAGCCAGGGGCTCCAAGGGCCACCTGCTGCCAGGGGTACACGTCCCACCTACCCAGCCAAACCCTCGTGTGAACCTTTCAAGGTGCTGCCTTCTGTGTTGACCTCGCTGGTCACACACTCAATGGCTGCGTGATGTTCACAACAGCAACACTGAAACGTGGCCCAGGGCAGCGCAGTGACGCGCACGCCGACAGTGAACTGACTAGCAGGGCACATGCCCCTGGCGCACACGCGCTGCCACCGCTGAAGCAGGAGTCAGAGGACGGAGCCAGAGGACAACCAGCGAGGTGGCTGGTTCCCGAGTCACTCAGCCACAGCCCTCAGGCCGCCCATTCCAGCCTCAAGCAACCTGGCACAGTCCCCGCCGCAGACACCGTCCCCGCTGTCAGAAGGCCCGCGCTCGCCCTCGGACGGCTGGTCCAGCCCTATCCTGCAAACACCATGTCCTAACAAGCCTTCCTCAACTGCCAGGGAAGTCCAATAGGGCGGCCACACCGGTAAACAGTGTGACCCCTGCAACAGCCTATGTGCGTTCAGTGCACCGTGTTTAGAAAACGACACCCCCAGCTCCATCCAGAACTCCTTGGGCATGCGGCTTTAACACTTGATCAAATGAGGGCTCTTCCCACCAGAAGGCAGGGCCCACACCGGGCTTTGAGGCTTTGTCATGTGACTCAGCCACTGCCGGGAGGAGGACAGATCACCTGAGCAGGAGCACTGACCAGACCCCTCCATCCCCACCATGGCACCCACACACCTGTGGAGGCCAGTGCGGTGACACAGGCCTGAGAGCCACACAATAAACGACATCTCACAACAAAGAACCAAAAGCTCACTCGGCCACCAAGGAGAGGTGCCCCCAACTCCGCAGAACAAGCGGACCTGCCCTGTTAGGCAGACACGATCTTCACACACTCTCACACACACACACTCACACACACACACACACACACACGGACGACACGATCTTCTCTCTCTCACACATACACACACACACACGGACTCCCAGCCTCCTCTTCTGCAGAGGGGCTGGCAGTCTGAACCGCGGGCCAACAGCTTAGACAGGTCAACTACAGGGATTCTTACCACAGGGGACCCCAAAACAAGCCACACGCCCTGCCAGCTGGGTCCTGAGGCTGTGAATCTGACGGAGAACACTCTCTTTCTGAGCAGAGCTGCTGAGAACTCACTTTTGGTTAGTGGCACGGCACACGACCAGGGCTCCTCTACTGTTAAGGACCAAAGCATGGAAACCCCCAAGGGGTAGTGTAGGGACACAGCCAACTCCAGACATCACCCAAGGCAAGGAGGGCGCCCGGCCTGGAGAGCAGCACCTGCGGGCCCTGACATCCTCAACTCAATCAACAAGACGTTGGGAAGCTGCAGAACTGCAAATCCATTTCTGATTCTTAAAACCAAACTGGCCCTGACTGAGACAGTGATCTGAGGGACAACCAGTGAGAGGAAATAAAAACGGGAGGACGAGGGCAGGGATACCCAGCTGCGGGCTAGAGCCCGGCACCGTCCTAAATCAGTGGACGAGAAGGCAACTTTGGGTTACAGGATGAGAGTGGCACGGTCCCACCCCATTTCTGGCTGAGCGCTGGCGGAATGAGGCAATTAGAGGATGAGGCAGAACAGAGCAGAACCAACCAGCTGGAAAGCTCGAAGCCCAGTATCTGACACTAGGCCGGACGCTCTGCCCAACTCGGCCCGAACTCGGAGAAAGCAGCTGAGAACACCATGCTGGTGGATGGTGAGGGAACGGGCAGCTGACGGCGAGGACGTGGCATCCAGTAACAGCAAAGGACCCACTCACCGAGCCTCCGGGGACGCCAACCCTTGACAGTCCGGCCCCGCTCCACGTCCACCAGGACCCTCCGGCCATCGATCTTCTTGCCATCTGCGTGCTTGTAAGCGGCTGCAACAGATGTGGGGGAGGGGAGGGGAGGAGTCCCCAGGGGTCCTCTAGTCAGGACAGGGCCCCGTGGGGTGCGTCCCGACCCCAGTCCCATCCACACACGCTCACACACGCCCACCAGTCAGTCAGACACTGACAGCGAGACAACCCTCTCCCAGCCCAGGGAGGGGCCTGCTCCATCTTGGTGGCTCCTCCTCACCCCCAGTAACCACTGGGAGGCATCGCTACCCCCAGCTCCCAACCCCCTAAGCCCCTCTGTGATAGAGCAGCCCCCTCCTGCCAGGGTGACCAAAGTTGCTGCAAAGAAACTGGAGGTTAACTCAATGCTGGACAGTGTGTGGGGCCCGCAGGGGGCCCCTCCACAACCCAGCCATGCACCCTGACACCACGCTGGGGCAGGAGGCCAACGGCCACCCACACCCCAGCCTCCAGCACTTCCTCTCTCTGGTTCTGAGGGGGGAAGGTGAGCAGGGGCAGTCAGAACAGACATCAGAACAGAAAGTGAACCGGAAGGGGTGGGAGAAAGCCTCCCAGTGGCAGGGAGCAGAGAAATGGCCATGTGCTTCTGGGGGCCTATGGGGCCCCCAAAGAAGGAGGGCAGACAGTGGGGGGCCTGGGAGACGTGCGGTGCTGCTACAACTCCTGCCTTACCTGAGACGGCTGACTGACCCTGCAGCCTGCCCGTCCTCTCCCCCTCTGCACCCGGCCTGGAGCTCGCTGGGCATGAAGTGCCCGAGCTGCAGGGGCGAGAGCAGAGGAGCAGTGGAGGGGAAGGCTCTCGCCTGCTTGTGGGCAGGGCACACAGTCCCCTGGCCTATAGCGGGTGGACAATCTGGAAGGTCAAACAAGTCCTGGCTCCCCACCCCCATGCCCTGGCCTTGAGGGACAGGGGTCCTCAACCATCCACAATACCCTGTCCCGCCCCAGCCCACGCCCCCCAAAACAACCAGAGGAAGAGAAAAAGGTGCCATTTACCGATGCCAGCCTTGCGGGTGTCCAAACCGAGCGGGATAGGGGGGGCTCGGCAACTCCTGGGGGCCTGGCGAGGAGGCGGGCTTCCCGGGGGGGACACGGGACCGCTTACCTGGAGCCCCCAAGCTTACCTGAGCACGCGCACAGACCCCACACCCACCACCACGGGGTCAGCTAAAGCTACAGGGAGGGAGGTGGGGGCGCTAGGGAGCAGGAGAGGACAGCCCCATCCTGCAGCACCTGGAGACAGGTGGAGGCGGCAGTGGACCCCAGAGAAATGACAGGGGCAAGGCTCACATCAAATCTGGGAGCTGGCGGCCCTGGACGACCACGCTCTCACTGAAAGGCTGGCTGGGCCTTGGGAAAGCTGTCACCATGGCTTGCTTGCAGCCACGTCCCAGCTGCACTATGTATATACCCCACCCCCTATCTGGCTCTCCCCCCATGCTCCACACAGGGGCTTCAGGATCCTGGCAAACAGCTGCCCGCGCTGGGGAGGAGGGGCCGCTTGGCCCCTGGGCCCAGTAATGGGACCAAGGGAAGGTATTCAGGAGGGGACCACAGTCACGACATGGAGCCCTGCTCTGGTTTGTGTCCCAGATCCCCAAAGAGGCCCAACCCGGGATATCAGTTGAGAAAAACATGAAGTGTGTCCTTCCAGGCCTCTCTCTCTCGCTTTCCCTCGCTAAGCCTCCAGATACTAGAAGGATCTTAAAGTCAACAGCACCTCCAGCTGCTTGCAGCCTAATTCCTAACCTCCCAACACCCAGTCCCCTATTCCATGCAGCCTGGGGCGCGGCCGGCACCACCGCCACCCCTCAGGAGGACTCGGCAATCAGACAGACAGGAAGAGAGCACAGCAGCCCCTAAACTAGCAGCCAAAAACGTTCCCTGGGCCACTGCGCTGACAGCCCGCAGGGCCAGCCCAGGGTGGGGAGGAGGGCTGAAGGGTTCCGTGAGGAGCCCTGGCCCTGGCACCCGATTCCTCGTTCCCATCACCGGGCTGCTTCCCCAAGGAACCCGGGCAGGTCTGAGGCTGGGTGAAGCCTGACTGGAGAGGCCAGCAGGGTTCACCCTTCCCCGGGGAATCGACAAGGCTACCAGAGAGCATATGAATATGGGGGCAGGAGGGGCCAAGGGCACCCACCGAGGAAAGGGCTCTGGGTGCGGGGAGTCGAGGGGCGGCTGGGGGAGGGATGCCTCGCTGCTCCTGAGCTGCCTGGCTAAGCTGGGCTGGTGTGCAGTGCTGAGTGAGCTTACCCATGATACAAACCCTTATACCAACCATACACTGAGGTGTTGTAAGGGGAGCGTAAGCATCAGCTGCAAGCCAGCTGCGTGGTGGCTGCAGTGACAATAAGAACAGTCAATTAATACTGCGGCCCCTGGACACGCCGCAGCCCTGCCCGCCCGCCCGCCCAGCCCTGCCCATGTGGACGCCGCTGCAGCCTCAAAGGGGGCTTTGGAGATGTGAGGGCAGGCACTGAGTACGCCCACCATCCCACTGCCCGCTGAGGAACAGGACGCGGGCCGGGGGAGGTGGAGGGCAGGGTGGCCCAGCCCCAGCTTTGCCGGGGAAGAGAGGAGAGGCTCAAAGGCCAAGCCTCATGCCAAGCTGGCCACCCTCAACTCTGGTGGGCAGAATAATGGGGGAGAGGCTCCCCCAAATCCAACCTCACTCCACTTCCAGCTCGCCCCAGCCCTGCCCAGTTCCCTCTGTGCCCCTAAGGGTCAACGTGTGACACTTACCTCCCCGGGTTCACACACACACACACGTTGTGGGGGGGTTTGGTTTTTGTTATTAAAAATACACATATACAAAAAAAACAAAAAAGATATATCAGAAACAGAGGGAGGCAGAGAAGAGACACTGCTCAGGTGAGGTTGGCAGGGTGGGGACAGGGACAGACGAGCGGGAGGGCTAGGGCAGCAGAGAGGAGGCCGGTGGGCGGGCGCAGGAGGTACTCACAGTGCATGTCCCGCTCATGCTCGTACTCGATGAAGGCATAGCCACGTGGCTTCCCTGACCGCTTGCTGTAGACCATGTGAATCTAGGGGACAGAAAGGGCGGCCAGGGGTGAGCGCGGATTCAGAGACCCCAGACCACAGCCACAGGCCCCTGTGGATGGCCCAGGCATTCCCCAGCTTCTGCATGTCATCTGAAGCTGCGGGTATGTGTGTGTGTGTTCACCACTCATCAGGGCAGCGGAGGGCACAGCACAGGAGAAGCAGAGGAAGGGCTTTCCGGAGGCCCTGCTCCAGCTCAGATCCCGAGAACAGAGATAAACAAGAGCAAGGCCAAGTGTCACTGGCCAGCCAAAGCCCGCAGTAACAGCCCCACCCCAAAGGCTCAGGCCGGGAAACAGAGAAGAGCTCTGAGCAAGAAAGACCAGTGTGATACATGCCAAGTCGGGGGGAGAAGAGGGACGGGGCGGGGAGTCATGGCAGCAGAGGGAAGGCTTGAGTCATCAGAGAAGGGAAAAGGGGTACAGAAGAAGGCCAGCAAGGACCCCGAGAGGGAGCATTCCAAAACAGGTCCTCCTCTGGGGACAGCAGCAAGGGAGCACAGCCCTGAGAGGAAGCGTCTAAGGCAGCGGGTGAGGACCTGGAATGCCAGGGTGCAGCAACACTTGTCCTAGGTGCTGGGGAGGCACAGATCTGGGCGACAGCAGACTGGCTCAGCTTGGAGTATGAAAACGAGGCCTCTGGGGCCAACGTCAGAGACTCTGAAAGACTCCCCAAATAGCGGCTAATTCTCCAGTCAATGACACTACCTCAGGAGTGACCTGCCTGTGTCATGACTAGGGTGGGCCAGAGTTCACGCAGTCCCAGGCTTTGGACACAGGCCCTCAGCAGTCCCCAGATCTGAGACCTCCAGGTTGAGCAAAGTGGGGTGAGGACACTCTGTGAACAGTTTCAGGGTCAATGTTCCAGCAGAGGTGGAAAACCTCAGGGAACCCCTCAAGGCCAGGGTGAGCCAACTAACCCCAGGCCCACCCAGTGAGGTAATATACACCTTCTCAACCAAGGGAAACAAAGACTAGGACATCAGAGTGACTTTTAAATGACGAGGTCAAAAAGCAGCATGTGTTCTCTGTTAAGAACAGACAAAAAATACTGTGTGGGTTTTCTAACTAGTCTCTGGCACAAAGACCCCACCCCATGTGAAAAGATGACAGCCGAGACACCTGGAGGCGGAGCTAGGCAGCCTCCCGGGCTCTAACTCAGCAGCTGCGGACACTATCCAAATATCCTGTGCACAGCACTCAGCCTGTGACGAGGACGTGGCATCCCACACATCGGGGGCCCAATCCTTTCCTATCAGGCCCTGCCCTCCTGAGCCCAGCACCTGACTCCACTCACTCTTTTGATAGGTCCATACACCTCAAACTCTCTCCTCAGTTTGGATTCTGTCGTGTCGTAATTCTGTAAGGAAACAGATTAGGCCGTTAGGTGGGAGAAAGACACCCAGGGACCCCCAGACTGCCCTTGGACTCAGAGTCCAGACTCCCAGCAGATCCAGAGGCCAGGTCCCTAGAGGCCAGGGGCTCGGAGCAGGGACTCACCACTCTCGCCACGAAGAGCGTCTTGAAGGCATCACCCTGAGCATTGGGATCATTGTGAGGGTCCCCTGTGTGGGAAGAGAGAAGCCGCTGTGAGCAGACATCCACACTGCCAGGCCGCCAGACTGGTCAGCAGACAGATGCAGAGGCCAAGCAGGTAAAGGCAGACTGAAGAGGAGCCTAATCAACAGGTTAACAGTTCAAAATCAACAATAGCTCTTTGGGAGAGAGAAGGCAGCCTAGGACATCCTCCAGGGCCTTGTGCTCTATCTACCTGCCAGCACTTGTTCAGATTCTTGGTCAATGAAGATGAGGGTGAGAGGAAGGGAAGATAAGAGGAAGTGCCTTAAGCCCAGGGCTCCCAAGTAAGAGACTTGCATCATTCACTACCTCTGAGGGAACTAGGATGGCCCAGTGGCAAGAAGCTGTGCTGTAATCCCAAAAACATGCAGTTCTAATCCACCAGCTGCTCCAGGAGAGTAGAATGGACACTCTCCTCCCATTCTAGTATGTTTCTTCTGAAAATCCACAGGAGAGTCAGCTGGGATCCTTTCCAATCCCACAGCACCCAAGGAGGCGGTTAGTCTGCCCAAGTAAGAAGAGCCCTTCCCCAAAACACGGCTGTACTGCCACCCGCTGGACAGAGCCTGCAACTACAGCCAACAGGTAAGCCACCAAGTAAGGTGGGAGCCCTCCGGGAACAGCCTGGCTGTCCCTGCCCTGCCTTTTCGCCACTTCTGCCCAGTGGTTTCTGGGAAGTGCCCAGAGCTGGTCCCTGACCCAGTGAACTGAAGCTGAGCGGTGGCAGATCAGATTTGTCCAGGTCTACAAAAGAAAGGCTTGACTCAGTCTGCTAACAACCTCCGATGACAAGTGCCAGGAATCTATTAAAAACTAACTTCACAGGTGAGACCTGGGGATGACTAAGTCCCTCCCCCCCAAGCTTGGTGGCCCCTGTAACCCCTTTACTCCTGCCTACTGCACAGCAAAAGAAAGAAGTATCTGATGTCCTTGCCTGTACATGAGCCCACTACCGGTCTGTCAGAGCGTGTGTCCAACTAGATGAGTATGAGAAATAGAACCTCCAGCACACATACATCACAGCCACTGATGATAACTCACATTACCAAGTATTCTTTGTAACACTGCAAACAAGAAGCCAAAAAAAGCCTAGGGGTACTCACGACAAATCTCAAGAGGGCCAGGAGACGGGGCTGGATTTTCTGTTCTACTCTATGCCATCTCAGAGACAGAGGGTGGCCAAGAACACAGGGAGCTGCGCTACCAGCTTAAAGGAAGTCAGTTCAAACCCACCAGCTGCTACTCTAAAGGCAAAAGATAGGTGGTAACCTCCTCCTATGCAAGTCCTGTCCTGAAAACCTGCTGGCGGATCAGCCGTGAGTGCGTTCTGACTCGACGAGTGGTCTTCCACGCAGCCTCAGCTCTCAGGATCCCAGCCTGACTCCCCAGGCCACTTACAGAAGTTTTAGGTGTTCAAGAAGCCAGAAAAAGTGTTACTTTTCCCCTGTGAGAGGGTCTGGCTACAAACCAGTTGTGCCACAGCTGACAGAGACAAGGGCAGTATCTGAGGCACCCATCAAACTAACCTCCTCAAGCTGGGATTTTGACCTAAGTAGCAAAATCCACCAGTGGCTGCTCAGGAATATGGTGCAATTAACAACCTCGAAAACCCAACAGTGTCAGCGGTGAGTCGGTCTGACTCGATGGCAGTGAATTTGGGCTGAGGAAAGAGACAATGGTGCCCTGCTCAAAAATACTGCTTTCACGGTATCTCCTGTCCAAAGCAGGGCTGAAAGCAGCCACCTCTGAATAGGGCACAGCTGCCTGTTTCCTGTCCTGTTAGCCACCCTCCCTTGTTCCCCTCAGCCATGACGGAATTAATTTAAACGCATTCCAAACTGCTGCAAATGAAAGCTCAAGACGACTTCAAGGAATTAATTTCTCTTTTAAAGGAAGAAGCCCAGGGTCAAGTGAATAACTACCTGAGGGTCCAAGCTACTCTCCAGAGAGAACACCACCTCTGGCTGCTCTAGTAACTATCTTTCACCCCCAGAATTTTCACTTTCTGTACTGATTTACGCTGGTCCTCATTCACTCACTTCTACACAGGGTCTTGCTGATTTCACTCACTCATTCATTCAACACTTACTGCAGGTTGAGCACTGCACTAGCTGCTCAGGATTAGGGGTGATCAATACAGAGAAAAAGCCCTCCTGTCATGGTGGTCATGGGATAATGGGGAGATGACAAGTGCACGAGGGTAATGAACTTGATTCTGTAGGAGAGGACAGGACAGCAAACAGGTCGGCACAGGCCACAGGAAAAAGGTGATGGCTAACTAAAGGCCTCAAGGGGAGTCCGCTCATGTGAGGGGGAGCATTCCAGGGGAAACAGAGGCTAGAGGTGGCTGGAAGGGAGATGGTAGCTGAAGGTGCAGAAGAGAGACCAGGGATGTTGGGACCACATCATGGGGCTGTGGAGACCACCAAGGGGACCGTCCCCGAGCTGGGAGTGTAGGGAGGTTCTGAGCCTGAGAGGAAGAACGCACTGTAACCTGGGCTTGTACACAGCCTCTGGCTGCTATTAAGGGTGAAACCTGAGACCAGTAAAGAGGACATGACAATCCTGGCTCAACCAGGCTGACTGAGACCTCGCTGACCCAACTCTGTACCTCAGCATCCTGGAGAGGTGGCAGCACCTGGCCAGCTGAAGCCCCAGCACCCAACCTGGTGGGCCTCGCACACTGCATGTTCTCCCTACACCGGCTCCAGCCTCACCACAAAATGTCAGCATTTCACAAAGGAGAGAACCACGGCAGAAAGAGAAGTGACCGACCGATGGGCCGGGTGAGTTCCAGCAACTCCTGGAAGTCTGGGAGGTGGGACCACACACAGAGAATGTGGTTTCATTTATTTCTTTTCTTCACAAATGTCTACCCCAGAGCAGTCCCGACATTCACACAATACACAGGACCTCTAGTGTCAGGAGGCGCCATGTGCCACTCCATTCCCACTTTCCCATCGGTGTGTGCTGCGTCAGCACGTGGATTGCTATGGGGTCACTGCTAACACCTCAGCCCAGAGCTGAGCAAAGGAAAGGCTCAACACAAATACTCTCCTGCATAGGAACAGCTTGACGCCAAACCCAAAAGATACCCTACCCAAACCCAAAAGATACCCTACCCAAACCCCCTACACGTTCATATCCTAGTCCCTGGGATCTGGGCAAAAGGGATTTCACTGGGCAATAAAGGATTCTGCAAAAGTGACTAAGTTAAAGGCCATGATATGGAGAGATGCTGCTGGCCTATCTGGGTGAACCAAATAAAACCCTGAGAGGCCTTACAAGGGAGCAGGAAGGTCAAAGGCAAGAGATGGATGGAAGCAGCAGAGGGTGGAGGATACACTGTGAGGATGGAGGAGGGGGCCATAAGCCAAGATAAACAGGCTGAAAAGCCCAAAGATAGGGCAGGAAAAGGGTGCTAGTCTTTTAAGCTGAGAGCAAACGGAAGTTGCTAACAAAGGAGCTACACTCAGAACTGTCCTTGTCTGGTTAAACCTTAACAGGAGGACAGTCCACTTTTTTTTTTTTTTTAAATTTTCTTTTCCCATGTCAGTAGTGGAGTGAACAGAGAGCTACTATATGTATCTAGGACATTTATAAAGAGTTGTCTTCCCCTTGAGAAAAAACTGAACACAAATAAATGTCCACGACAGTCCCCTTTACTTCAGTGGGGATGCTGACTACTGACTACCAGGGTCCACACCTGGTGGCCTTTAGGTGAATATTCAACATACTGTAAAGCTATGCCACAGCACCTGCCCGCGGAACTGTACTTCCAGGCCGGGAGCGGGCTACGCAGGTATACCGATTAGACTCATACTGTGTTGTCAAGCAAAGGCTGGTCTGGAGGGTGCTGGACATGTGAAAAGAACACACCTGGGACATTTATGATGGACAAGATTTGTAAACAGGTTGGGGAAAAGCCTAAAAGAGGGTTAATACAAATTGAGTTGCAAGGCTGAGGTCACACCTTGAGTAGGAACATGGGTGACAGGACCATGACCACAATAATGACCTAGTAATGGAACCATTCTAAGGAGACCAGGCTGCAGGGCAGAGCCTGACTGTGGTTCTGAGCTTTGAATGTGAGCATCAAGAAAGGACATTAAGGCAGTGGGCATGAGGCAGGGCGCAGGAAAGCTGGCCCTCCAGAGGACAAGGCTGAGCGCAGACAGACTACAGCCCCACAGGAGTAGATGGAAACCCAGGACTGCTGGGGACCAAGCCCTCGCTCAGATAACTTAAGGGTCACCTGGGGCTGAGATCTCTTCTTCCTTTACCAGATGCCGCCCCCTCCTGCTCCACCTGAAGGGATGGCTCCACTCCAAGGAGAAGTCATAGGCTGTAATCACGGCCACAGCCAGGACAGTGGGCGGGCGCACCTGTCAGGTGTGTTCCTGGGAGGTTCAGGGAACACTGCTCCCTTTTCCCACCTGAATGCCGCACCCATCATTTAACAAATTTAAATGACCCCACCATTGTCAATGTAAACTGACAAACTGTAAATTCCAACTCACAGCAACCCTACAAGACGGAAAAGAACTGCCCCGTAAGATTTCCAATGCTGTGCATCTTCACAGAAGCAGACTGTCTTAGCTCTCTCCTCTAGAACAGCCAGTGGGTCTGAACCACTGACTTTTGGGTTATCAATAGCACTTTTAACCACTGCATCACCAGTGTTCCTTCTGGTAGGTAAATGGAAAAAACTAGATTAGTGAACAGGAAACTCTGGTGGTTTAGTAGTAAGGAGATGCACTGCCAACCCAAAGGCATGTGGTTCAAATCCACCAGGCACTCTGCAAGGGAAATACGGCAATCTCTTCATGTGTGATTTACTGCTGCTGAAAACCTGCTGAAGTGTTGCGACTTGACAGTAAAGAGTAACAAAGTAGTGAACTGCCAGCCCTGCTTCCCTCAACAGGCCTTTCAGAGAACAGGGCCCAGGTTCGGACACGCAGAAGAGCAACACATGAGCAACTCAAAACAGAGATGGGCAGAGGAATGAGGGACTTACACATTTTTAGCTCTGTTTCCACTTCCTGCTGTCGCCGCTCAATCTTTTCTCGTCTCTGTCAGGAGAAAAGGGAAGGAGTGAGACATAAATGTACACAGACATGCCCCATGCCAGGGACCATGTGAGAAACAACAAGGCGACGAGGCGGGAAGACAACAATCTCATACCTTTCTCTCCATGCGTTCCTCCCGCGTTTCTGCTCGAGTGGGAGGAGGGGCATCTCGAGGGTCCTGGGAATAAGAAGAGAAGTGACAGGGTGAGAGAGACATAACAGGGTGGGAGGGACTGGGGAAAGCAATAAGAAACATCCTCCAAGATAAAAAAGGCACAGTGCAGGGGATAATAGCAGAACAGTGACAGGTCAGAAGGTTGTTGCTGGTGGGCAGCAAGTTCAGAAGTCAAGTGCACAGATCAAGACATTTTTACAGCACCCGGACAGGGCAGTCCTATGCCTGCCAAATCTTACACTGCACTTCAGTTTTTTACATGCAAATGCTTCTTACTAAGTAAATAAAGACAAACTACTCGATGAGGACAACAGAAAATACTAAAAAATGGACAAGACAGTAGTAACACAGCACAGCGTGGTGACCATGACTAACATCACCGAACTATACACGAGAATATCTTTATTGCAAAAAAAGGTAAACACGTTATCCAAAAAATTAAGTTTGTTGTATTCATCAAAAATATCAACCAAGAATGGTAGAAATTTAAAAATGCACACACACCTGTCCTTCACCAGGAAAAACAGTTCAAGAAAAACCCAATTTGCTTCAAGAAACAAATGGCACCAAGCACAGGGACAGACCATGGGGTCACAAAAGGTGCAACGGGCCCATCAACAAAAAAATTGATAGAGAAGCTGTGGTATATTCACACAATGGAATACTTGCTGCATTGAAAAACAAGGAACTCATGCAGTATTATTCAAAATGTGTGACCCTGGAGGACATTATGCTAAGTGAAATATCTCAGTCACAAATGGACAAATACTGTATTGTGCCACTGTTGTGACATCAGGGTTTTGATGAGACTGAGGAAAAATTGGATAAATTATGTGTACTGCATTGAAACAGATGAGGGAGAGAACTGTTTTAAAAGTGATGTATGATTGGGTATTGCGGTTATTTTAGGAGTCCAGAACGAAGGCTGCAAAGTGGAGTATACTGGGGGTGGGATGATTATGATTATAAACCAATGAAAGGTTTTTGTTTGTTTTTTTTACTTTTCAAAGAGAAAAATGAACAGGGTGGGGGGAGGGTGGGCAGGGAGAAAAATGCAACAACAAATGAATGGAAATCCAAAGTCTCTAAACTTTCATTAAAATAAAATAAAAATAAAAGGTTCAATGAGACCTCATCCAGAACAGACAACTCAACACCTGCAGGTCAGATCTCACCAAACACTAAGCAGGAGCTGGCAAGGCCTGCTTCACCAAAGCGGCCCCAGGCCTGCACCTAGTTATTTTAATTAGCTATAACCGTTCCAAGGCTCCGCTCACTGGGTGAGCGGCAACCCCTACCAAAGCCTCAACCGCCTAAGGCAGCCTCTGCTCAGCACCTCCCACCCCGTCCTCCCAGGTGGAGGATAATCTCAAGGAGGACCAGAAGTGGGACCATCATCCCCAGTTACATAGGAAGAGCCTGACAGCTACAGTTACCCAGCAGGTGCAGAGCTGACACGCCCAGGCCACTGGGTGGACCTTGTGAACACCATCCTAGGCAGGACTCAAAGAATATACACAGTCACACACCAAGTATTCACTGAATAACCCAGTTCTGATATTAAGGTGTTTCTTTAAAAATGTTTTATTGTATTTTATTAGAGAGTGTATGCGTGTGTACTGTCAAATCGGATCTGACTGGTACAGGAGGGGATTGTCCCTCCTTTTCCAGCACAGCATCTGGCGGATTCAAACCACATACCTCTAGAATTACAGTGCAGCTTCTTGCCACTAGGCCACCAGAGCGTCCTTGATATTAAGTTTCATGTTTAAACCTCCCTCAATTTTAGAAGACAGTAGCTTACGAAATAAAAAAAAAATTCCTACCTAACCCTACAACCCGATTTTATGTTGACTAATGTGAACTTTCTTCTTTCTGTTTTTGCACTTATAACCTTGGTTCTTAATTGCTAATTACTGACTTTTCAGAACAGGCCTCTTCTCTTTAACAACCACTCTTGCAACGTCCACCTGTGAACTGCCCCACTCAGAAGCCCAGGGCTTCCCAGCCTTAGCCATTGGCAGAGGGGCTTCAGGGGCACAGTCCAAAGACTTGGAGGCTTAGCCCAAAGGGCAACTTCTCTGGTAGCAGCTCAAACAAGAGAAGACGAGTCTTCTCCCCCAGTGTGATTTATGGTCTCAGTGACACAATGAAGGGTCAGCTATGAGTCCCCTGGAGCTCCAGGGCAGTGAGACTCTATAGGACGCCAGACTGTCAGGTGTTTCTCCCATGGAACCACTGGACAGATTCGAAAGAGCAGAGTTTCAGCTGAGCATTCAAACACTGCACTGCTAGGATCCCTTCAGGACCACCGCACAACAGATGTCATTACAACTTCAACCTCATTTAAAGAGAAATGACTGAGGAAGTGCAGACTCCATCCCGAGTCTCAATCCCACACTAAGAAAAGGGTCTTCTATTCCACTAATGTTGTTCTTGTATGTATGCTATTGACATAATAAATTATTTTTTAAAAAGTCATGAAACTGTGCCCAGCGGGCTCCCCCCAGGACACACCGCACCCCTCCTCCTCCTCCGCTCAGCACACTCACCTCAAACTCTCGGATGTAGGGTGCAATGCCACAGTAAGGTTGATTGTGGTGTTTCTCGTGGGGCAGCTTCTCCAGGGGGGGAAGGTAAGGGATGGGGTCCCGGGGGGCAAACAGGGCCAGAAGGTTGGGCGGCAGGAACTGGGTCATCTTTGCCAAGTCTAAGGACAGAAGCGGAGTCAGTGAGGGTGGGCTGGCCAAGAGCAACCCCCCCATAACCCTCTGATTCCCCAAAAACCAAAGAAGAACGCAGGAGGTAAGGTCTCATGGGGGGAGCAAGCTCTGACCCTAAGTGTCAAGCGGGAAGGAATATGAAAGAGAAAGCAGTTTCTCGGGGAGGCGGGGGGTGCCCTAGGAGGGAAAAGGGGCCCGTAAAGGAAACAAAGGCGGGGAGAGGTTCCTGGGGAGGTGGGTTCTGAGCCCTGATCAAGGCGCCGAGGGGGGCTGGAAGGGTCCCCCGCGAGCTAATCAAAGACCCTGCGTCCCAAAGGGGTGGCGGCTGGCGGTCCCACCTACCCCGGCGATCGCTTTACGAGGAAAAGACCCCCCGAGTCCAAGACGAAGGAGACGGAGGATCGAAAGGAGCAAACCCCTCAACGCAAAGATTTGTGGGTAATCAGGCTAGACAGCACACCCGCGAAGGCGAAAGGCATTGTGGGTAAGGGTCCCGGACACCGCTAAGCGGCGTCAAAAAAAACAAAACACAAAAACACCCCAAAACCGGCAAAGTCAACGCAGGGATTCGCAGGGAGGGGACCGCGAGGGGCTGCGGGGAGAGGGGTCCGGGCGCTCAAAACAGCCTGGGTGGTGGCGGGGGTCGTGGGGCGGGAATCGGCCGCGGAGGAAGAGAGGCTGGGGCCCACCGCGGGGACTTATGGGTAGCGGTCCCGTTCCCGGTAAAAGGCCGGTCACACGTACCCGCAGCGCGGCGCCCGCCTCGGCCTGGAGTCGGTCCGGAGGCTCGCGGCGGCCCCTCAGCAGCAGGAACTTAAGCTGGGACTTGGAATTCGGCGAGGGGGTGGGTGGTCTGAGTCCGTCCGAAGTCTTCTCCGGCCCAGCGTCCACACAGGGACGCCCGCTCACCAACCCGCGCGGCCTCAGCTCGTGAAGGGAATCGGCGGGGGTGGAGCCCAAGCGCAGATCCCTCCGCCGAGCGCACTGCACATGCGCCCCGTGCTCCCTCGGCCAACTCTCATTTGACGGCCTGCGCCCTCCGCGTGAAACACGCATGCGCAAGGCGACCACTCCGTGAAAGGCCTTGGCCGCGAGACTCAGGCGCTCGCAGTGCGCATGCGTTCTTCACCTGCGGGCGCCAGCACCTCCGCCCACCCACCACCTCCCGCCTTTGACTCCAACCGCCTCTGTCAGCGAGGCTCGTCTGTTGCTCCACCTCTTTCCCTAACGCTGGGTCGCAGAACGCGCATGCGCCGTGTCGTGCATTCTCTGTACTCCTCCGCCGGCTGGCAAAGAGTCCCTACGTGAATAGCCGTGACAGAAGTGTTTTTTTCCCATTCATTAGTTGTCAAAACTTACGCAGCGTGGAATGAGCACTGTTTGGGACGCTGGAAATAACAGAATGTGGCTAAGACAAAGTCTTCACTTTCAAGAAATTTACTAACATTAGGCTGGAGGAGACAAAGACATTTAAATGGAAAACAGTTTCTGAAAAAGCATGAAGAAAAAGCAAGCAGAATAAAAGCAGGGGATTGACAGCGGTGCTGTTTTAGAAAAGATGACACGGGAGGGGGCTGCTGGAAAGAGGTGATATTTGAACAAAGAGCCTCAGTTAAGGCATATATGTAGGCTGAGTTAACAGCCTGTGCAAAGGCCCTGGGGAGACATGGGGAGAGCAAGCAACATGCTGGCTATGTCAAGACTTCAGATTCACCCGGAGGCACCTTAGAAAACAGACTTAAAAAAAAAAAAGAACAAGGGAGTTCTGGTGGCCTAGTGACAAGAAGCTGCAAGCTTCACTGCAATCCCAGAGGTGCACGGTTCGAATCCACCAGATGCTCTGCTTGAGGAGGGACAATCTCCCCCTGTACCACTCAGATCTGATTTGACGGTACACGCACAAAAAATAATAAAATTAACTAAAAAATAATAAGGGGGGAGGGTGGGCAGGGAGAAAAGTGCAACATTGAATGAATGGAAATCCAAAGTCTCTGTAAATTTTCATGAAAATCAATAACAATAAAGAAAAATTAAAAACAGCAACAACCACACAGTTCAAATCCACCAGATGCTCTGCTGGAGAAGGAGGGACAATCTCCTCCAGTACCAGACAGATGTCATTTGACGGTACACACAAAAATCTAAAAAAGAAAAAATTAAAAATAAAAAAAAAACAACCCAACACCAAACAACCTGTCACAAGAACCTTATAGAACAGAAGTACAAAAATATCAAAGTTACTGCCTTCTGGGCCAACTCACAGCTGACCCTCCAGCGAGTGTTTGGAGGCTGTAAGTGGAAAAAAGGAGATTGCCCATCTTTCTCCCATGAGCCACTAGTGATTTCAAAGGGCTCAACCTCTGGGTAAGTAGCACACCTCACTCAGTATGGACTACGTCACCAGACCTCCATGTATGTTGTTGTTATTGCTGCTGGTGGTGCAGTTGAGCTCCACTCATAGCGACCCATATCTGAACCTAGCCTATCTTGTGCCGTCCTCAAAATCTTTGACACACTCGAACCCATTGCTGCAGTCACCTTGGCAATCCACCTGGTTGAGGGTCTTCCTCTTCTTCACCATCCTTCCATCTTTCCAAGCATGATGATCCCTTTTTAAGGAATAACTTTTTCTAAAAATTAGACCCAAAGTGTGTGAGACAAAGCTTTGTTATCTTTACCTCCAAGGAGCACTCTGGCCGCACTGTCCCCTGAGACATGCATGCATTTGTTCTTTTGGCAGTTCTCGATTCTGGGGATTTTCAGAACTCCAACAACTGCTGTGGAAAGGGATCCAGTTCTTCTGTCATCCTTATCACTGCCCAGCTCTCCAGTGCATAACAAGTGATTGAAAAGACTATGGCCAGAGAGATCTGGTGGCCTAGTGGCAAGAAGCTGCACTGCAATCCCAGAGGTATGCAGTTCAAATCCACCAGATGCTCTGCTGGAGAAAGAGGGGCAATCTCCTCCTGTGCCAGTCAGATCTGATTTGATGGTACATACAAAAAAAGAATTAAAAAAAGTGTGTTTAAAAAAAAAAAGACAAGACTATGGATGGCCTAAATCAGGTGCACCTTAATACTCAAACTGACATCATTGCTCTTCCGTAATTTGGAGAGGTTGTTAGATATAACCAAGTCAACGAGAAGACTCAGTGACATTTTGAAACTTGCTGTATCCTGTGCCATCCATCCTCATGATGTTTGTGGTGCTGAAGCCCTTATAGTCACGGTGTCAATTCATTCCCTTCAGGGTACTCCTCTCATGGCTGATCCTCTGTTTTTCCCAACATGATGGCTTTTTCCCCCAGGACTGATAATAGTATTAAATCCATTAGACTTTGTTGTTGTTTGTTGTTATGTGCAGTCAAGTCACTTGCAACTCACAGCAACTCTATGTGCAACAGTCCTATACCCTGCTCTATCCTGTGCCAATCTTATTGTCTCTGACACATCAACCCCCATTTCCCCAGTCACTGAATCAATCCATCTTATCAAGAGTCTTCCTCTCTTGAGCTGTCCCTCCACCCCTCCAAGCCTGACATCCCTTTCTAAGGACTGGTGCCCCCTTAGGGACATGCCCAAAGTATGACAGATGAAGCTTCAGAATCCTTGCCTCCAAGGAGCAACCTGGTTTCACCCTCTCTTGGAAGAGCCTGTTTGTTCTCCTAGCAGTCCATGGTATATTCAATACCTTCGCCAGCACCACAGCTCAAAGGCACCAATTCTCCTTCCATCATCCCTAGTCATTGTCCAGCCTTCTGACCAGGGCAAGTAATTGCAAAGACCATGGCTTGAACCAGGCACACCTTAGTCTGCAGGGTGATACTGTTGCTCTTCAGTACTTTGGAGAGGTCTCTGACAAGCGACTTCCCCAATGCAGACTAGCAATGAGTTAAGTATGGTGTTTTATGTTGCGGATTTTTAAATTGGATTTAATGGCCCGTTTCACAATAATTACAGAAACGATTACACTTTTATATTTCAATAAACATGGAACATATTACATGTGTATTTAAAAATAATGAGCTCTGGGAGGGTAATCCGCAAGCAGTTGCACAGTTAATACAAAAGCAACCTCTCAAAAAAAAAAAGGCAACGTCTCTGTTGTTTCAAGTTCACCAGCAGCTCCTGTGGAGAAAGGTGAGCAGTCTCTGCTGGTGAAATTGACAGGCTCCAAAAACCCTCTGGCAGGTCCGCTATGAGTCTGTTCTGACTCTACTGTGGGTGACTGAAAGATGCCTGAGTTGTCCTTTTGTGACTTCTAGATCTATCCACCCATGATGTACAGCATTTCACAAATTCTTTTTCCTTTTCCACAAATTCTTGATGGTGTTTTGTTGTCGTTGTTGTTATGTGCCATCAAGTTGTTTGTGTATCATAGCAGCCCTATGTACAAGAGCCCTAAACGCCATTCTATCCTGTGCCAACTTTGCTGTCTCAAACACACTCATTCCCACCGCTCGAGTCACAAAACCGATCCATCTCATCGAGGTTCTTCCTCTCCTTCGCCGCCCCTCCACTCTCCCAAACACGACGTCCCTCTCCAAGGACCAGTCCCTCCTTGCAACATGCCCAAAGTATGTCAGACAAAGTTTCAGAATCCTTGACTCCAAGGAGCATTCCAGCCTCACCCTCTTCAGGGCAAACCTGTTTGTTCTCCTAGCAGTCTATGGTATAGTCAACACTCGTCTCCAGCACCACAGCTCAAAGGCATCAATTCTCTTCCTATCATCCCTAGCCACTGTCCGACTCTCCGATGCATAGCACGTAATTGAGAAGACTATAGCCTGGATCAGGCGCACCTTAGTCTCCAACCTGACGTCGTTGCTCTTCAGTACTCTTAAGAGGTCCCTCACAGCTGACTTTCCCAATGCAATTAGTCTCTGGATTTCCTGGCTGCTGTTACCAAGAGTGTTGACTGTGGAGCCAAGTAAACTAAAACTGTTAACTATCTCAATCTCTTCACCATCCATACTGATGCTGCCAATTAGTGATGCATAATACTCCATTGTATGTATGTGCCAGATTCTTTAACAGTTTGTCCGTTGAAGGACACTTGGGCTGTTTCCAACTCTTTACTGTAAATAAAGTTGTAATAAAGGTTAAGCTCAAGCTCATTGCCATTGAGTCATAACAGACTCATAGCTGACCCTCAGGCAGGTTTTTAGGAGTGTGTACATTGCACAGAAGGAGACTGCCCATCTTTCTCCCTCAAAACCACTGTGGATTTGAATCACCAAAGAGGCAGTGCTGTGGGGTTAGCACCACAACTCCCCACAGGCTACACCACCAGAGTTGCCTGCAATAAACCTGGTTTGTTGTTGTTAGATGCTGTCAAGCTATGACTCATAGTGACCCTATGAACAATGGATCTTATCCTGTGCCGTCCTCATCATCTTCCACACACTCACACCCAAGCCCATTGTCAAGGCACCATCTGGCCATCTTGTTGAACGTCTTCCTTTCTTTATCGAACCCTCCACCTTGCCTCTAAGGAGCGCACTGGCTGCCCTTTCTCCAAGACATATTTTCTGTTATTTTGACACTCCGTGGGATAGTCAGTACTCTTCTTCAACATCTCAATTCAAAAGCATTGATTCTTCTTCTGTCACCCTCATTCATCATCCAACGTTCAGATGCTTAAAAAAAGTCATTGAAAGACCATGGCTTCTATCAGGTGCACCTTAGTCTTTAAACTGACAACATAGCACCATGGAGAGGTCCTCAACAGTAGATTTTCTCAATGCAACATGTCTTTTGGTTCCTTGACTGCTGCCACTAAGCGAGAAACATAGGTTTATCAGTTTGTGTCATAGCTTGTATTTCTTTGGAGTTAAACCTATATTTAGGTATAGATATGTATATGAGAGGAGGTCTAGTGGGAAGAAGCTGTGCTGCAATCATCTCACAGGTACACAGTTCAAATCCACCAGCTGCCCCATGGGAGATGGATAGGCAATCTCTTCCCATGCAACTAACTGCCTCTGAGAACTCTCTGGAGAGTCAGTTGTGGGTCAGTTCTGACTTGATGGTACTCAACAACAACTATTAGGATATGTGGGATTGCTGGATCCAAGGGTATATCTATTCCCTACTTTCTAAAGAAGCGCCAAGCTGGTTTCCATACTGGTTGCACCATTTTATTTTTCCCATGAATCAAGTCTTGGATCAGGATCAAGATCTTATTTTAAATGAAATAGGAAATAAAGGGGTTTGAGCAGGGGAAAGGGGCCCTGGTGCACAGTGTTTAAGTATACTCTAGAACTTAACCAAAAGGCAGTTCAAATTCACCCCGTAGCTCCGAGAGAAAAAAGACCTCCCTAGCGTCTTCCTTAAGGAGCTCCTTCCTATTCTCATTTAAGTTACAGGGTTGTAGCTACTTTGAAGAGATTGAGCCGGACGATGGAGGTGGTTTGCAAGGACTGGGGGGAAATTTGACAGTACACACACACCCACACACACAAAATAATAAAATTTAAAAAATTTTATACAGGGCAAGCAAAGCAAATGTTCTAGGTGGAGTGGAGAGTAGGACTGCTGGGTGTAAGGGGACCAGGTGCTGACAGCTCATGAACTATGACCATTAACTGCTATTAAGGTTCCCTGGTGGTGCCATGGTTACAAGTTTAGCTGCTGACCAAAAGACTGGTGGTTCAAACCTACTTATTGGTTCTTAAAAAAACAAAACAAAACAAAAAAACAGAAAAGCAGCTGCTTCCATAAAGATCACAGCCTCAGAAATGCTACAGTGCAGTTCTCCTGTCCTGACAGTGTTACTGTCAATGTGCTGTCATGCATCGGCTGGTTAGCTCTTTTGCTACTCCTATTATTTCTTTGTTCCTGATCTGTGATTTGACAGGAAGGCTGAGGTACCTCTGTAGGGTGAGATGCAGGAAGAGAGACCCAGAGAGAGAGAGAGAGACTCAGAGATGTTCACATAGCATTCCCAAAAGAAAGGGAAGATAAAGTCAGAATGCCAGAATTCATCAATTTTTGGTAACTTTTTTTTTAATAACTCTTAAGGTCTCTCTAGAGAGCGCTGGTGGCCTGGTGCGTAAAGAATTGCACTTCAAACACAAAGGCAAGAGGTTTTAACCCATCAGCTTTCCACAGAAATTGATCAAACATGCAATCAAGATGCATTGATATAATGGGCGACTGGAACGCAAAAGTTGGAAACAGGGAAGAAGGATCAGTAGCTGGAAAACACGGGCTCAGTGAGAGAAATGAGGCTGGAGATAGAATGAGTTCTGCACATTCAATGATTTATTCATTGCAAATGCCTTTTATAAAAGAAACATAAACGCAGGCTATACACATGGATCTCACCTGATGGTATGCATCAAATCAATTACATTTGTGGAAAGACTCGCTGGAAAAGCTCAATATCAACCGTGAAAACCAGGCCAGGTGCTGATTGTGGGACAGACCATCAACTACTCATACGCAACTTCAAGACGAAGTGGAGGAAAATTAAATCAAGTCCACGGGAACCAAGACTTGACCTTAAGTCTGTCCCACTCGAATTTCAAAACCATCTCAGGAACAGGTTTGAGGCCTTGAGCATCAATGAGCGTAGACCATGGGGAGAAAGGTGGGGAAATATAAATCGTAGGCAATTTCCAGCCTCTGAAAACCTGCTGGAGGGTCAGTTACGAGTTGCTTCCGACGGGACAGACTGACTAAGTCTAAGAAGGAACCGTGTGGCTTAGTGTTAAGGAATTAACCTGGTAACTAAAAGGCTGCAGGTGAGAAGGCTGAAGCCACTCCGCGGGGCGCGAGGGTGGGGTGGGTGGAAGGACAGAGGCAACTGCCCTTGGAAATCTATAGGGGAGGTCGGCTATCATTTAGGGTCGCTTGGACACCCTATGTGAGAGGCGTCTTCCTCCATCTCGCCCGCAGAGGGCGCGAGGAACACGACTCCTTGATAGAAGGTGAAGCACTCGCTACCACTTTCCCCTAGAAGCCATGCGGATGGGGCTATTTTTATGCGATGTCACCAGACACCCGTGGCTGGAAGGACACCGTCTGTCTGCCCTTCAGCCCCTGTGAGTGACCCTGCGGCTTCTTCGTGTCCACTTCCCGGCACGGCACGCCTGACCTCCTCTCGCACGCATCCCTGAGGGTATATACCGCTCAGAAAGTTTTGCTGAGAATTCAAGTGGAGACGCCCTGGGGGACAATCCAGAGAGCGCATGTGACAGGGCGCGAGCTGTGCCAAGTCCTGGGGATTCCAGATGCCCACTGGTGGCTCACTCACCAAAACCTAGTGACTCTCAAAAATATAAGGCAGAGAAGGAAGACATTGAGATGCGCCCACACTTTTCTACAAAGGTAGTCAGAGGTGGAGTCACAGATCTAACCCCCAGAGATCCTAATGCGTCCAAAGCCTCTGAGACAGGCTCGCACCATAATTCAGAGGGACTTAAACAAGAGCCCCAGAGGAGAATGACAAGGAGAGAAAAGGGAGAAACAGAGATCCAGAGAGAAGAGGCAGAGAGACAACCTATGGGTAGAGTCAAAACACAGAGGGTGACACACACAAGTCTCCCAGAGCGATTAAACTCAAGAGACGATTGATCAAGGGATTCAGAGCAGACCAGAGCGAAGGCTGCACAGTGGAGTGGACCTGGATGGGGAGGGGATGGTAAAACAATGAAAGAATTTTTCTTTTACTTTTCCAAGAAGGGAGTGTACTGGGGGGTGGGAGAGAGGGTTGGGAGGGGAGAAAAGTGCAACAATGAATGAATGGAAATCCCAAGTCTCTGTAAATCGGCATTGAAATTAATAATAAATTTAAAAAAAGAGATTCATTTACTTTTCAAAGAGAGGAGCGAACTGGGGCGGGGGGAGGAAGACTGGGCGAGGAGAGAAGTGCAGCAATGAATGAATGGAAATCCAAAATCTCTGTAAATATTCATTAAAATTATTTTTTTAAAAAAGAAACATGATACCTTTCCTGCTTCTTTGGAAAAAAAAAATTCAGAGCGATGAGAGCGAGACACGCGCGCAGAGATGCTGATGAGAGAGGGTCGTAGGAACGGGCGCGCTGCACAAAGCAGTATTCAGATGCTCCTATGGGGAGGGACTGAGGGGCACTGGGAAAATCGTCTTGGAACAGGACAGAGGTCAGTGGACGAGGGCCAGACCCAAGAGCGCGCAGCGCGCAGTCGGGACTGAAGCTGGCGCCCCGGTAGAGGGCGCCCGGCCGCCCTCTGCCCCGCGGGGTCACGGCGCCCCCTCCCCGGGGCTCTGGCCGGACAGTCGGGCTATTTTTACGCGCGGACACCGGACACCGGGCTGGGGCGGCGGCGGCGGCGGCCGAGGCGGGGCTGGGCCGGGCGTCGGGGCCACACGTCCGTCCGCGGGTCGCTGGGGCTGCGCGCGCCATGGAGCCGTGCGGCTGCTGCGAGCGCCTGGTGCTCAACGTGGCCGGGCTGCGCTTCGAGACGCGGGCGCGCACGCTCGGCCGCTTCCCGGACACGCTGCTCGGGGACCCCGCGCGCCGCGGCCGCTTCTACGACGTGGCGCGCCGTGAGTACTTCTTCGACCGGCACCGGCCCAGCTTCGACGCTGTGCTCTATTACTACCAGTCGGGCGGGCGGCTACGGCGGCCGGCGCACGTGCCGCTCGACGTGTTCCTGGAGGAAGTGACCTTCTACGGGCTGGGCGCCGCGGCGCTGGCGCGCCTGCGCGAGGACGAGGGCATCGCCGCGCCGCCCGAGCGGCCCCTGCCCCGCCACGCCTTCGCGCGCCAGCTCTGGCTGCTCTTCGAGTTCCCCGAGAGCTCGCAGGCCGCGCGCGTGCTGGCCGTCGTCTCGGTGCTCGTCATCCTCGTCTCCATCGTCGTCTTCTGCCTGGAGACCCTGCCCGACTTCCGCGATGACCGCGATGATCCGGTGCCCGCTCCAGGCCCGGTGAGGGGCGGGGTCCGGGTGGAGAAAGGGAGGGGTATTTATAGAGTTGGGCGGGGCTTGTGGGTGGATCTGACCAATCATAAGATAGGAAAAGGGGAGATAAGAGATGGAACTTCTGAGAGATCAGGGAAAGGTGGAGTTTAGGGGGGGAGTGGGCGGGGCCTCGATTATCTATCCAATCATAAGTAGAGATGAAGGCCTCAGTGAGGCGTGGCTTCCTAGGGAGGCGTGGCTTCATATGGAGGCGGACCTTTCTAGGGAGGCGGGGCTTCCTAGGAAGGCAGATCTGTGGGTGGAGACATATGGGACCAATTATATTGAAGGGCAAGGGGCAGTGAGAGAATAACAACCCAAGGTTTAGGGACTTGGCCACTAAAATCTGGGTTGGAGGGCTGGGATTGTATCTCTTGGGGGGCTAGGAGGATCTGACCTATCAGAAGGCGGGATTTGAAATAGGTGGCTTGGAGGAAGGGCCCTTGGTGCAGGTAGGAATGGGCCACAGATGCATTAAGGAATTGAACCTAGCCAGTGGAGGAGGGCCTATAAATGGAAGAACTATGAAGCTGTCAGTGGCTAATCTGAGGAATGGGCTGGAAGCTGGGAGAGCAGAACCTGAGGGAGGTGGAGGGATGAACCCTGGAGATGGAGTAAAAGGCACTGGCCCCAGATGAACACCAGCTGCGGGTTATGAGAAGAGTGTCCGAGAACTTGCCCTAGAGAGAGAGTTTTTTGCCATCTGGGGCTGAGGGTGACCAGGAGAGGCAGGTTGAAGGAGGAGGAGCCAGGATGGGCTCTGTTGTTGTTGTTGTTATGTGCCCGTCAAGTCCTTTGCGACTCATAGCGACCCTATGTACAACAGCCCTAAACCGTGCTCTATCCCGTGCCAATCTCATTGCCTCTGACACACCCATCCCGATTACCCCAGTCACTGAATCAATCCACCTCATAGAGGGTCTTCTCCTCCTGCGCCGTCCCTCCACTCTACCCAGCATGATGTCCCTCTCTAAAGACCTGTCTCTTCTTACAACATGTCCAAAGTATGTCAGGCGAACCCTAGAAAAAAATTCAAGTTTGAGGAGGAGATTTAGAAGGGAAAAGCAGAACTCCAAGTGTCCTTAAAAGGGGTGTGCTCAGTAAAGGGACTCGGATTACATCTTCAGCTACATCACGTAAAGTCAGATTTCCCACCATTTTGCTCCAAGAAGTGCCAGAAAGAAATATCTAGAACATCAGGGTCGTTGGGGGCCTTCAGATAGCGAAGTCTTTGGCTATGTCATCTACTATGGCCCTCCCAGTGTGCCCCAGCCCTGGCCTGGTCTCCCCTGAGCCCCTTTCTCCCTGCAGCTCTCCACTCGGCTGAATGGCTCCAGCCCAGTGCCTGGACCCTCGCCCCGCACACCCTTCGATGATCCGTTCTTCGTGGTGGAGACGCTGTGCATCTGTTGGTTCTCCTTCGAGCTCCTAGTGCGTCTGCTAGCCTGCCCCAGCAAGACCGCCTTCTTCAAGAACGTGATGAACCTGATCGATTTTGTTGCCATCCTTCCCTACTTTGTGGCACTGGGCACCGAGCTGGCCCGGCAGCGAGGGGTGGGCCAGCCGGCCATGTCACTGGCCATCCTGCGAGTCATCCGACTGGTGCGTGTCTTCCGCATCTTCAAGCTTTCTCGGCACTCGAAGGGCCTGCAGATCCTGGGCCAGACGCTGCGGGCGTCCATGCGCGAGCTGGGCCTCCTCATCTTCTTCCTCTTCATTGGTGTGGTCCTCTTCTCCAGCGCCGTCTACTTCGCCGAGGTGGACCGAGAGGATACCTACTTCACCAGCATCCCCGAGTCCTTCTGGTGGGCGGTGGTCACCATGACCACGGTGGGCTACGGAGATATGGCACCCGTTACCGTGGGTGGCAAGATCGTGGGTTCTCTGTGCGCCATTGCCGGCGTGCTGACCATCTCGCTGCCTGTGCCGGTCATCGTCTCCAACTTCAGCTACTTTTACCACCGGGAGACAGATGGCGAAGAAGAAGGGATGTACAGCCATGTGGACACACAGCCCTGTGGTGCCCTGGAGGGCAAGGCCAATGGGGAGTTGATGGATGGTGAGGTGCCTGAGCTGCCACCTCCACTCTGGTCCCCCCCTGGAAAACACCTGGTCACTGAAGTGTGAGGGACAGTGGAGGTCTGCCGGACCTCACACCTTCTTAGAGGAAGGGAGGGAAGCAGAGAGGGAAAGACCGGGGAGGGGAGGGGTTTGGGTTTAGGAAGAACTAGGTTAAGTGGTGTTGTGTGAGGGGACACACATTCTTGGTGGGTCTTGAGTTGTGTGACTTGGTAGTCCTTGTGGGGACCACCTTAAGTGGCAGCAAATGACCATGGGCTGTGCCAAGTTGAATTGTGGCATCTCTATGGGAGAGACTCCACTGGTTTGTGGTACATTGGGTAACGAAAGCTGGAGGGGAGGTAGTGTTGAGATAGGTTTGGTTGGATAGTTGTATGAGTCTTCTAGGTCCGTTGTTTTCGACCAGGATGAATGAAGAGACAAGGACACCAAGAAATGAGGAGGAGAACAGAGAGTGAAGGCAAGGCGTGTACAGTTCCAAGACTGCAGCAGCCAGCCTAGAGTCTCTTTTGCCTTTACTGAAAATGGCCAGGAAATAAATCACAGAGAAAATGCTTTACTAATGAAGCTAGGTGTTTGGTTTTGTTTTTCTCTGTTGACCTTCTTTGGCTTATCTCAGGAAAGAGGCAACCACAAAGACATACTGGGAGGTGGCAGCTTGGTTTGCCTGGAGTGCCTATCTCCTGTGATCTGTCTCTGGAGAAACACCACCTCGTTTCTTGTGATCTGTTACAGGAGGCATTCCAGCTTGTTTTGTGCCTCCTTCCGTTCCTGATTAAGCATTTGCGTTGACATTTGCTTTAACACCTGGCTTCCCATAGTCCATGTTGAGTTGGGCTGGGTTGTGGGTCTGGATGAGTCTTGTTGAACTGCAACTGTGCAGAATTCTGCATTTTTTTATGAGTCCCCTCGGGTTTCGTTAGCTGGTCACCCATGGCCTTGTGGGGTTGATTGCCTCGTCATGCCTGGAGTTGTTGAGTTGGATCGACGCATGTTGGAAATCGAGTGGCTTCATCATTCTTCTAGGGCCATGTTATTTTAGGTTCTGTGAAGTCATGTAGAAATAGGAAGAGTCAAGTGACATAGTGTGAGCTTTCTAGGTCACATTGGGCTAAGTTGGGCTGCCCGGGACACCCGAGTGAATCTCTCAAGGTTCTGGTAGATTTGAGTGGCGAGGTGTTCTAGGGCTGGGAAGTCTTGCTGGGCCTCAGTGAGTTGAGGTGTGTAACCACCTGAGTCTTGTGGGGTCAGCTCAATAGCGTCAGATGACTGAGTTGAAGCCTGTTGAGTTGCGTCATTTATGGGTCCTGGGAGAAGGTAGAATCGGGTGAGATTCATGAGTTCCATAGGGCCGTGCTGAATTGTTTAGGGTTTGGATGTAGCACCAGGACCCAAGGATAACAGAGTTAGGAGTGAATTATGGATCACGGAATGAACGTGGGGCTGGGGGTGCTGGGAAGATAGACCAGCTGGCTTGACAAATGTTAATTTCTGTGTGAAAGTGGAGTTGGAATCTGTATCTGCGGATTCAGATATTCATGCAGAGGGGCTCTTGGTAAACCAGGGAGCTGTGTACTCTCCTCATTCACTTACACCTGCTTTGTTTACCCTCTTCTGTCTGTCCTCTGCATCTATGTGCCTAGACAGAGAGATCTTAGCTCGGAGAAAGAGTGAGAGGAGAGAAATGGATACTTTAGCTAAATAAGATAAGGGCATAGTCTCCCAAAGGGAGGTATGCCGGGGCCCGGGGAGTGTGGAGTCACAGAAGAAGATAGAAATCCAGAGAGACCTCAGAGACACAGAGAGCTAGAGAGAGAGGGGAGTCTTGCCAATAGGGAATAGAGAATCATAGAGAGAGACCCAGAGAGGGGAGTCTGGAACTTAATGAGAGGGGGACAGAGGAAAGGACAGAGATCCAGAGAAAGGGAGGCAGAGCCCCAGAGAGAGAGGAAGAGAGATGGGGTGGGGCAAGGATGGGAGGGCAGAACAGAGACCAAGTATATGGGATACAGACCCAGAGGAAGAGAGTCCTGCAACCAGAGAGGGTGGCGGAGACCCAGAGTTGGGGGACACACCACAGGACCCCAGAGAAAGAGAACTAAAAGGGAAAAAAAACATCAGAGAAACCTGGTCACCAACCCTGAACTCAAAAGAGGCACATCCAGTCTCGATTCTGCAGAATTAGAAAGAAATCGCCTGCCCAGACCTGTCTCCCACATTCACACAGCTCAGGAAAGCCACGTTGGGTCATGGTGTGAAAGGCTCAGAGAAAAGATAGGGCTTTCCAAGGTCACTGGGCCAGGACTGGGGGCTGCCTGCCTCCACGTGCCCCCATCCGCCTGGGACACGCGTGACCCTCAGGTTCTGTAGCCTCATTTCTGGCAGACTGAAGGAAACTGAGGCACGGTGAGAGGGATGTTACCCAAGGTCTCACAGCTACTTTTTTTTTCCCTAAAACCAAAGGGCATTTAGAGGGCAATGGTGGTGACACTGGTGATCACTAACACATGTGGGTCTTCCTATTACCAGGCACCTCTCGGAGGGCTTGTATGTATTTATTAAACTCAGCCAGTGGCTTACAGAGAGTTCTTGTCCTTTTTAGCGGCTTTTGTTTCTTTTTGATCGAATGGAATATTATCTGGAGGCACCAATAGGAAATGTCCGAGGGGATCTGGACTGAGAGAAGACGCCTCCCAGGTCTTCTTGGCAAATCCAAATGCAGCTGAGACATTCCCCCTGGACACAAAGGGTTTCTTCCAACCACTTTCTCACACAGAGAACCCAGAACAGGTAGCAGGAAGACATTGGTAAAGGGTGTCAATGATACAACACTTAAGAGGATCGGTCGCGTTTCTCCCTTGAATGGAGAGGAAGTCACATCAAGAAACGGACAGACACCCCATGGGTGACAGAAACAAACACAGGCTTTGACCCAGCACAGAGAACGAAAGGGCTGGAGATGGACACAGCGAGGGCCTGGGGCCTGGAGAGAGGACAGTGGTCCATGAGAAGGAGGAAGAACAAGAGAAAGGGGGACTGAGACCCAGAGAGAGAGGGGGACTGAGACCCAGAGAGAGAAGGACTGAGGCCCAGAGAGAGAAAGGGGGACAAAGACCCAGAGAGAGAAGAACGGAGACCAGAGGGAGAGAGTCCCAGAGAGAGGAGGACAGAGACCCAGACAGAGAGGGACAGAGAACCAGAGAGAGAGGGGACAGAGACCCAGAGAGAGAGAGGGACGCAGAGAGAGAGGGACAGAGACCAGAAAGAGAGAGGGGCAGAGACCCGGAGAGAGCGGAGGGACAGAGACCCAGAGAGAGAGGACAGAAACCCAAAGAGAGAGGGGGACAGAGACCCAGAGAGAGAGGAGGGACAGAGACCCAGAGAGAGAGGGGGACAGAGACCCAGAGATAGAGGACAGAGACCCAAAGAGAGAGGGGGACAGAGACAAAAAGAGAGGGGACAGAGACTCAGACAGAGAGGGAACAAAGATTTTGAGACAAAGACCCAGAGAGGGGGGGAAGGGAACAGACCCAGGGAGAGAGGGGGAGACAGAAATGGGGACAAAGACCCAGAGAGAGAGGACAGAGACTCAGAGAGAGGGACAGAAACCCAGAGAGAGGGCACAGAGATCCAGAGAGAGAGAGGGACTGAGAGTCAAAGAAAGGGAGTAACAGATTCTGAGAAGAAGCAGAGACTCAGAAATGGGACATGAAAGAGAGGGACCGAGTCTCAGAACCACAGAGAGAAAGAGACCATGAGAGAGGACAATGTCTTGAAGGGACCCTCCCCGTATTTCTGTTACTCTTCTTTGGAAGCCCACTCCCCCTTCTGCATCAGAAACCTCCCTTAGTGCAGAGCCCCGTCCTGTCTGGTAGGGGGTGCAGGGAAGAGTGTGAGGAGGTCAGGGAGGTGACAGGACACTTGATGGCTGGGAAAGCGCCCCTCCCCCATGCCAATAAACAACTGCAGCGGCCTTGGCTGGGATGGGGAGGCGAGAGAGGGGAACACCCTCACCCGGGGACACCCTTCCTGCCACCTTGCCATGCTATATTTAGGCTGAGGGAGAGGTAGGGGATGACTCCTCTAGGCAGGTGTCACCTTTCTTCCTGAAAATAGCACAGGGGGGCGGGGAGTGGAGGTGGGACTGGAAGCCCTGCCCTGGTGTGTCCTGGGATTCCTGGACTTCAATCCATCTCTATGTTTCTTGAGGTCTATGCCTCCTCTCCCTTTTAAACTCTCTCCCTGTGTGGTTCTCTGCCCACCCCTTCTGGGTCTTTGCTTCCCTCTCTCTCTGGGTCTCTGTCACCTTATCTGAGTGTCTGTCCCCCTCTCACTGTCTCTGTCACCCTTCCTCTGGGTCTCTGTACCCCTCTCTCTCTGGATGTCTGCCCTCTCTCTCTGATCTCTGTTCCCCTCTCTCTCTGGGTCTTTGTCCCCCTCTCCCTCTGGGTCTCTGCCCCCTTCTCTCTGAGTCTTTGTACCCCTCTCTCTAGATGTCTGTGCCCCTCTCTGGGTGTCTGCCCCACTCTTTCTTTCTATGTCTCTGTCTGTCTGAGTCTCTGTCCCCCTCTCTCTAGTCTCTGTCCCTTTCTCTCTCTGATAGCTCTCTCTCTAGTCTGTCCCTCTCTCTGAGTCTCTCTCTCTTTGGTTTCTGTCTCTGGTCTCTGTCTCTCTCTCTCTCTTGGGTCTCTGTCTCTCTCTCTCTCTGTCTGGCCTCTGTCCCCCTCTCTCTGGTCTCTGTGTCTCTCTTTAGTCTCTGTCCCTCTCTCTCTGATCTCTGTCTCTCTGGTCTCTCTTTCTGGTCTCTGTCCCTCTCTGAGTCTCTGTGTGTCTCTCTGGTCTCTACTCCCCTCTCTCTGAGTCTCTGTCCCCATCTCTCTAGTTCTCTTTCTTCTACTCAGTGTTGGGTCTCTCACATTTCTATTTCTGCGTCTTGTCCCTTTTTTGTTGTTTTTTTTTCTCCTCCCTTCATTGGTCACTAGTCACTTTAAACAGGTCACTGCATTCCTAAACCCACCTTTAAGCAAGTTCTTTTCTACCTGGATCTGCTCCTGGCTGAGCTCAAGTCCCCATCCAGGAAATTCCAGGAGAGAGGACTGGACGGTGTGGGAAGCCCCCCCTGCCCCCCAGAGCCTCGGATCTTATCGCTGCCCAAGTCCAGCTGGTTAATGTCTGGCACGAAGCTCCTGGGAAAGCAGGGACGAGAGCAGAGGGTGGGAATCTGCCTCAGGATTGACATGAAATTGGCAAAAGAAGGCAAAGAATCTCCAAGGCCGACGCTCCAGTCTGACTTGAACGTGAGGGAGGAGGGGGCTGGGAGCTTGGACCCCTATATCTGCAGGAAGAGGGGGTGGGTGCTCTAACCACTGTGTCTAAGGGGGGAGGAAGAAGCTGTCCACTAGAAGTCCTGGGTCTGAGGGAGTAGGGGGCTAGGGTCAGGATTTGCTGGGGCCTGAGGGCTAAGAGGGTCACAGGTCAGCCTCCCTGGGGGCCAAGACTTCCAGGTCTGAGAGAGCTGAAGGCTTGAACTCAAGTCTGATGGTGTGGGGACTGAGAGGTTAGAGTGGGGACCTAAAGAACAGAACTCAGGTCTGCTGGTAGCAGGGGCTGGGGTCAGGACTCCAGAATCTGAGGGAATTGGGTACTGGGGGGCTAGAATTCTGGGCTCTGGACTCCAGAAGTTCTGGTGTAAAAGGTCTGAGAGTCAGGACCCCCAGATGTAAGGGTATGGGACACAGGGGCTAGGACTCTTGGGTAGAAGTGTAGGTGATTTGGGGTGAGAACTCCTCAGTGTGTAGGGGAGGCTGGGGTCCAGGACCTCCAGGTGTGAGGGGAAGCATCAGGGGATAAGGACTCCAAGGTCTCAGGGTAGGCGTTCTGGGGGCCAGGACTCCTGG